GAAAGATCAATGTGAAAGATGTGAAATCCGCGAAATTTTAATTCTGTACGTTCAGTTATGTACGGCGTTAGTATTACGGAATTTTCAACACAAAATGTCAATGATTTTCACAAGTTCCACCATTCTCCCATCGACTCTTCAAACTTTAACAATTTTATGCGGTACAGCAATCGGCAGTCATTGTTTCGATATCTGTACAGCGTTCAAAGGTGTTCAAGAGATGTTATTCTTCTGCCACACAGAAATTTGTTGTCCAAAGATATCTCTGCTATTATATTGATTGTACACATCTCCGTAAAATGGAATGTACATTTTACTGCACAATAAAATTGTGATGAATTGCAGCGGGAGTAATCTTCATTTTTCCATTCTTGCCGTTGTTTCTAATATCAGAATAGTGAAAAATTTAATAACCCCTGGTAAAAAAATTTCTCTAAAATTTTCTAAGAATTTCTCATATTTTAGATTTATGAAAAATTCTGAAAAAAATATGTCAAGCTTCTCTCTCAGATACGTTCAGAAATAACTGGATGAGGATTTTGGTATTTGTATTATATGAAAATTTCCGATAAGTCGCGCGGATTTTCTCACATTTATTCAGATTTCTACAAAGATATGTATTGACGGGAAAAATCTGAAATAGTTCATTATTATTTTATCTGAGTTTTATTTTTTCTGAAAAATGTTCCAATTCGTATAAAAAATTCTGAGACATTTTTCCATCAGGGCCGAACCAACAAATTGATAAATTATATTCATATTGTATCATCGAGCTTAAAGTCGGTACACCACAAACATTTGAGGACGAATAAATGCGCACACACACACACACACACACATCGTCTATAATTTTTTAATCGCTGAAATACCAGCAGAAGAAAGGATTGGATTAAGGTCAGATTATTGCGACACGCTTATCACGGATCAGCCAAATAATCCCGACGCTAATCGCGCTCATACCTATCTCGTAGCGACAGTCCTAGTCGCGATTATCTCTATTTTAAAGCCGCCAAGACCCCGCGAGCTTTTCCTTTATTTTAGGGTTTCCCCCTCGACCCTGCCCCTCCTGGCCGCGCTCACTATTCATGATTTGCAAATTTAAAAGGCTTCGCGATCTCCCCGCCGATTGTCCGCTCTCTCGCTCCTTCTCGCGGTCACGTGTCACGAGACAATCGCGTGTGTCGAGCGGGGTCAGGGAGGAGGGAGGGAATGTTGATGTTAATTCGAGAAAAAACAGCTGACTCGAAATGTGTGGAAGGAAATTGATCGCATATTGCGCACATTCATATTCATAAGGGGTTTGCCCACAAACATGGCAGGAGACACGCGAAAAAAAGCTCCTATCTTTTTGTTTTTCATAGATAAGCCGTCCTACTCGTGGAAGCGCAAATATACGAGGCTTCGCGCTCGATCGGACAACCTCAGGCATTTCGGGCAACGTCGAAAAACCACCGTCCCCCCCGATTTGCATAATCACGCGCGGCGTGTGCGCGAGGGAAGAGCGGCAAGGCGAATCGCGCATCAAAAACTGGGGCTCCACGATATTCACCGCCGCGTTGAAAATCTATAACTTACGTCACGTACTATAGATATTAGTACTGACAGTGAATATCGGACATTATCAGAAGACAGCTAAGGTGACTGTTTAATTTTCTTTTTTCTCTACTTTCCCCCTTCTGCCCCGCCGCCCCTATACATGAATGCGTAATCAAATTGCGTAGCGAGCCTATCGGCGAGTCGACCGCGATAGCGGCGCGCATGTGTACTTTGTGTACGCGCAGTGTACGGCGACGACGGTCAACAACGACGGTGTTGGACGGTGCGATCTCCGTCGGGTGACGACGACATTTCGCAGGTGCCCGTGTTCCGTTTGCGTGCAACGTGCAACGGCGAGGGGTAAGCCGAGACCCGCGATCGTCCGGAGGAGGGACTGGGGACTGCGACGCCCAGGGGAACGACGTCCGAGTCCCGCGCGCGCGGGATCCACCGCGCGACGGAAATAACAGCATCGCCGGGGAGTCGGGAGAGAGAGCTCGTGGCGCTTCGTGGGAGAGGGAAAGGGAGAGGTGAGAAAGAGAGAAGGATCGAAACGCACACCGGAGCGCGAGGAGCGCGAAACATCTGATCGTTTGACACGGACGCGTGGAGTCCCCGCCGCTGAGGTTTGTCTCGTCGTCGCGCGATAGTGACACGCGTCTACGCTGTCGCGGCCCTCGCGGCGCGTTCCCCACCGCTGTCTAATCACACGTGTTTCTTTGCAGTGCCTCGCAGTCGAACGCGACCCCGCCGGCGAACGTCAGCCGGACCCTTGGCGGCGTGAGAGAGAGAGAGAGAGAGAGAGAGAGGTTAGGTCGGGATGTCGGTCGCGCAGCATCTCGTCAACTGGAGCGAGCTGGAGCGCTAGCTGACGGGAAAACACGATGATCCTTGGCATCCCGGATGCGCGAGTCCACGTGAGAGACGAGTCGTGATTCGTGAATCTGGAGAGACGGAGCGGAGCGGTGCAATAAGTGTGCATGCTCCTGAGACGGAGAGATGCACGGTGCTGCGGCATGTTAAGTTACCAAAGATTGCACGGTGCTAGCCTGTATTCGCGCGAGCGATTTGTCGAGACGATACCGAGGTGTTAGGATAAAGAGTGCGGAATGAGTTTCAGCAACTTCGGCCACGGAAGGGGCTTCAGGCCACCGCGTGCCGCGCGGGGCACGCGGGGCGTGCGGGGCGCGCGTGCCGCGCGTCGCTTCGGCAGGCCCCGATTCCCACGGCCGCCCTTCCGTCATGCGGGCCCACCGAGACCGGGACATCCCGCGCAGTTCGGCGTGCCCTGGCAGCCGAACAACATGTTTTTCCAGTCCCACCCGTTGCGGGGCGCTCCACCGTTTAGATCGGGATCGGACGGTAGGAGAAGGTTTTGCACCTTCGACGTTCGATTCCCCACTCCCAATATACTGCCCGTGTCTCTGGATTATGACGAGGACATCGACCTGGCGTCGTGTAGTCTGCAGGCGGAGACCGATCAAGATGGAACTGCACCACAGCTGCCTCTGCTCGGTTCCGAGGAGGAGCGGCAGCAGAAGATAACCGAAACGGCGGATCGATTGAAGCAGAAACTTTTTTCTTTTAGCAGCAAGACGACAGATGTTTGGAGTGAAGACGTGCCGATTGATCTCGCCGAAGATGATTGTATAGAAAATCGTATCCCTGTCGTAGTCGGGTACAAATCATCTGAGCTCAAACTGACGTACAATGATCTAAAGGACATTGGAAAAATAAATCCTGATAACGCTAATCTTGATAACGCGCAGCATGCTACGGATGTATTTAATATTACGAATAATACAAATAATGATGTAATATTAGATGAAAATGAAAATGGATCTCATCTAGTGATACCTAGCGATCAAATGACAAATCTGGAAAATGTACCAGATGATAATGCGTGTTTGGAAACTGATAATTGGGAGTTCCAAGAGCAAATTTATAATTCCAATATTTTGGAACAATCGAATTTACATGGAGATAACAATATTGAGTTATTGCAATCGGACATTCAGTATCAATATGATGTACCTCCGGCTATTATTTTACAAGATCAAGACGACCAGCAACAGGATACTTTGCAAGAAATCAGAGAATATCCCACGAATGCTACAGAAATCGAAGAATATCCCATGGATGCTACAGAAATCAGAGAATATCCCATGGATGCTACAGAAATCGGAGAATATCCCACGGATGCTACAGAAATCAGAGAATATCCCACGGATGCTGCAGAAATCAGAGAATATCCCACGGATGCTACAGAAATCGGAAAATATCCCACGGATGCTACAGAAATCGTAGAATATCCCACGGATGCTACAAAAATCGGAGAATATCCCACGGATGCTACAGAAATCGGAGAATATCCCACGGATGCTACAGAAATCAGAGAATATCCCACGGATGCTACAGGAATCGGAGAATATCCCACGGATGCTACAGAAATCGGAAAATATCCCACGGATGCTACAGAGATCAGAGAATATCCCACGGATGCTACAGAAATCGGAGAATATCCCACGGATGCTACAGAAATCGGAAAATATCCCACGGATGCTACAGAAATCAGAGAATATCCCATGGATGCTACAGAAATCGGAGAATATCCCACGGATGCTACGAAGGAACAAGAAGAGTCTGAAACATTGAATTTACCGACTGTGTCATTTCCAATTGATTCAGTAGATCAGAATATTTTGCTGAAGGAAAACGAAGAGAGACCGCAAAACGAAGAGCTTTTAACGAATTTCGAAGTTCAAGAAAATGTCTTAAATTCTCACGTTCATGCAGAAAATTCAAACGGTAGTAACAGTGCGTTGATACAACCAGCGTTAGCTGATGTGTCAGCAAATAATGTTGCATTAGATAACCAATTGCCAAAAGTGCAAGAAAATTCTTTTCATAGTCCACCAAACCTGTCTCCGCATACCGAGCAGGTGTTACCCGTTGATTTTGATCCTACTACTCCACCACCGATATTATTGAAACAAGACCAACCACCACGTATCTTGCCTCCATATTCAATACCACCCGATTTACCACCATTATTCGATCCTACAGCCCCACCGCCAAATATAAAATGTTTACTCGGATCAACAGTACCTCATGAAGACGCAAATCCTGCATGGAATAACGCTCAAAATCCAATGCCTGCCGCTTATACAAATATAGATGTTCATACGGGCTTAAATACACATGGTGGATTTATGCTTCAACAGTTACCGTTAGAAATGTCCAACCAAAATAATGTCTTTCTGCCGCCTCACGTTGATTCGGTAAATTTTTCTCCAATATTTCCTATGCCGTTAAACAGTCAATCTGGCATCAATACGCATGTTCCGCCAATATTACCTCAAATACATGCGACGCCTCTTACTTATGTATCTCCATCTTCCCTACCAGAACTCTCTTCCTCCCCTGATTTATCTTACAGCGTGAACAAAGACGATGTTTTGGATGACATGCAGGAGGCTATGAAATTTGCGAAAGAAATGACAAATATAACAGGAAAGACAGATGAAAGTTCCAAATCAAGTTCCAAAAGCAGTGTCTCAGTTAATCCTGTTAGCGACGTAGAGTCTATAGCCCTGCCTCCAGGTAAGCCAAGAGCCAAAACTAGTAAGAAAAAGACAAAAGAAGATAACACATGTAGCAAGAAGAAAATAGTACCTGAAGAGCAAAGTACAGCAGACCACCTATCATCAGAAGAAACGATACAAGATGCAAATGCGAAATCTAAGGACGTCGAACTAATGATGGAGCAAGATCGTCCTAAAGTAGTATTTAACTTGAATAATAAAACGAAAATGATAAATACTAAGACAGCGCGCCAAGAAAATATCGAGAAAAGAAATGGGATGACGCATTCTGTGGAATCAGAAAAAACTCGTGCAGTACCTTCGGTAACGAAGAAGAATACATTAAGGCGTAGAGAGAGTAAAGAGAGTAAAGAAGGGGAGAAGAATTTGAAGAGAAATGAAAATAATTCTAAAAGCACAATATTATTCGAATCAATTGCAAACCAGGCTGCTACATTGCCTCATAAAAAGCCACAAAAGGATATTCACACGGAAAAATCTCAATCTTCTAACGTTTCACTTTATTCGAAGATCAACGCGCAAAAATCAAGAAGTTGTATAGAGAAGAACGAGAATTCTAATATGGAAACTTCATGGAAGAACAAGATCATCAGCCGATTTTTAAAGATGAGTACGAACGATATCTACAACATGGTGAATAACACTAGTCTTCGAAAGTTTAATATTATAATGAAGCGTCTAGTCAAGGAAAAAAAGTCTACGTTATCCTTAGAGATGAGACAAGCAGAGGATGAAAAGATGAAAATGTACGATCAGCAGGAATTTATGAAGCAGTTGAACGCGATGTTGGATACCGACGCTATTGTGTCCGTTACGGATCTGCCTACAGAGTTTATTCATCATTTAAATGAAGTGCTGCAATTGGATGTGCAACCAGACAATCACGCTGAGTCCGCAACAGCTTCGAGTAGCCAATGTCACTCGGAAAATACGAATTATGTGTTCAGTTCTGTTACCCATGCTACAGAGTGCGCAAATAAAACAACAACGTCGAATGACGTTAGTCAGGAATATGTAAGAAACAAAGGCCATACAACAAAAATGTCATATAACAAGGACGTACACACGCGATCGGATGAGAAGGCATTAATGACCGCGTGTGTACAAGTGCATAATGTTAAGAGTAACGATCTTAACTTGAAAGATGATACTTGTAACACTATCGTAGATAATGATCCTATTAGTAGTAACTTGTTAACTTTGCAACATGATTTAGATGATATATTTTCAGAAGTAACGAAGAAAAATCAAATCCCTGCGGCAGTAAAAGAACGCAAGCGTTTCAGTATGGCGCAACAAAACGCAAAGAAATTCGATGTCGGCGCGATGGAGAGGAGCGTGGAGAGAGAAGCGCTCTTGGAAGATGATACAGCATATAGACTGGAGAATTGCCCGCGCTGGGACGAGAAGTGCGATAGGTGGAAGAGGAAGGAACAGGAAGACCCGCACGCGTACAGAAATCTTACCAAAGAAGAATGGGAAGCGAGATACGGAACAACGGAAAGCGGAACGATGCTTCTCGAAACGCGAGATACGCTTCTCGAAATGCGAGATACGCTTCTCGAAACGCGAGATACGCTTCTCGAAACGCAGATGAACCCGACACCTTCTTTTTGCACAAAAAGGATTGCTGTTAATAACAAAAAATTATCAAGTGGAGGAAATTTACGTGGTAGGAAATTTTACCCGCGACGTCGTTATTCGTCCGAATCTTCAAAGCACCCGTCAAACACAAGACACAGATCTTTGGAGAAGGATAAGCATAAAAAATCTAGACGACATAGCGACGATAGAGGACATAGTACAGGATATTTAGAACATATTATCAATACCGACAGTAACAGCAGCAACAGCAACAGCAGTAGCAGTAGCAGCACCAGTAGCAACAGCAGTAGCAGCACCGATAACGCAAATGTTGCAAAACTATTGAGGGTGATAAAAGAGAATGAGAAGGTAGCCAAGAAAATGTCGTTGAACGAAGCGATAAGAGACGAGGTGAATGCCGAGATTGAGCGGGAGCGGAAGTCGCGAAAGTCGCGGAAGAATCGTAAAAGCCGAAAGCGGAGGAAAGCACGTATGAGAAGGAAGAGGCAAAACAAGAAAATGACGAGCTCCTCCGATTCCTCCTCGGAAAAAGATGATGAGGAAGCGGACGATGCCGATAAATTGCTGACAGAGAGCGAAATTAAGAAGGAGATCGTAGAAAATCAGATCACGCAAGAAGTAATTGTTAAAGAGGAACTGGACATCGGCCAAGAAGCGATCATCGAGAACGCTGAATTTGCAAGTGCCTCGAGTCTCGTCATGGAAAATAAGGCGGCGTATTTACTCTCTGCGTCGCAGAACAAGTTGGAATCTCCCTTGGCACATGAAATTCCGCTGGCGATTGTCAATCCCACGCAACTATACGCGGAAGACAGACTGCCGACAGCCTCCCCGACGCAACCGAAGACCAAGGCGCAATTGAAGCAAATGCCAGAAACATCCGATATGAATGACAACAAGGTTCCTCTGAATGTATTCACTTGCATACCGGAAGATTGGAGCACGGTTGCTCTGGCGAATTTCTCGGAATGCACGGAGGATTTAAATAGAGCCTGTCGAACAGCTGACGTCGATTGTAATCAGGATAAAGTTGTTTTATCGACCGAAGGAGCTAGTAAAAGTGCAAGATTACAACTGAATGAGACGCCATGCACCTTGGCCGAATTGTCTACCAAAATAAAAGACGCTAATGAAATCTCAGCTAGTGATAACGATGTATCAAGAGTGTCAACGGTCGCTACATCAGCATCGTCGGTATCGGGTGTCTCGCCTGTGAGTACTGTGAATCAGAAGCAAGGTGCCAGCAAAAAGATCGACATAAAGACATATTACGAGCGCGCTAAAGAACGTCGCATGAATGAAAAATCAGAACCGAAGAGGCCCGCAGAAAATCCCGCGATATCGACGCGGAAAAATTCGCTTACACCGAAAGCCACAGAGCCGGAAGTTGCAGTAAACAAATCTACGTTCATATCAACATACAGCGGCCCCATTCTAGATCCGCGATTAGTTTCAAGATTAGCTGTTCCGTGCGTAACGAATAATAAAGATGACACCGCGCAATCAACGTCGGGAAAAAATATTCGGCAAAAAGAAAAACCAATGGCAAAGGAATCTACGATTGCAGAATTAGCACCGAGACGTCCTGAAGAAAAAAATTCAAATCATATCGTCGACGGCGATAGCGGTGTTAAAAAAATTAATCAGAATAAATCAAAAGCTAAAGTATCGCCGGCTGCTAGCAATATCAAAGTAATATCCAACGTTGTAGTAACATCTAAAATTATAACACCAAGATCCAAGAAACTCGCAGAGATTAGAGAGAGCGTAGCAGATAAACAATCACAAAGCAAAGTTTCGTCTGATTCTAAACGATTTAAGAATATTCGGTCGGAAGGTAGCAAGGAGCTGAAGCTGAAAAAGGAATTGGCGATGGAACAAAAGGCGAAAAAGAAGTCTGCGGCAGCGTCAAAGTCTGTTGGTCTAGTTTCGACGAAAGTACATTTTCCTTTGGAAAAGACGACGAGGGCAGAAGAGGTGGCTCAAGAAAAGAAGATCGATAATACCGGTAATATAAATAAAATAAAAACTGAACGAATACAATCGATAGATTCTCGCGAAAGTAAGGTAAATGATAGCAACATAAAAATGGAACCGTCAACAATTTCCTCGGGGAACACTGACAACAATGCTGATGAATTACCGCGTGATATTAAACCGAAAGAACGTTCCTCGAACTTCAATGTTGTTAAACGAGAAAATGCTGAAAAAACTGTAAGTAATATTGACGTTGATACGCGTAAACATTCTTCTAAGACGCCGCGAGATAAAGAAACTCGATATGTAAAACGTGCGAAGAACATAGCAAGTACTGAGATTGCAAATAAAAAAGATCGAAGCGCAAGAAAAATTTGTAATGCCGTTCCCGAACTCGATGTGTCGACAGCTTCGAAAATTGCCCTGGAAGTTCCCGAAAATAAAACTTCAATTGTAAAAATAAACAAGAAGGATTCCTCTAAGATTCAAGAAGCCGATGCAGCGAAAGATACGGAGCTTTCGTTTAATTATGCGGACCAAAGTCAGATTAAAAAATCGAATGATCGAGATCTATCGGAGAGCACAATTAATCGTGATACAAGCGGCATTTCCAAACTGGAAGCGATGTCTCGATCGGATAGCATCGACAAGGAAGATAGACGAAGTAAGGAAGATCAGCTGTTAATAAATATTAAAACTAACGATAGTAAAGAGGATAATATGGAATTTAATATACCAGATACGTACAAATCTGCGAGTGTGACGGAGGACAAATCTCGGGTTAAGAAAATCGCTGGAACATCAGCTTCAAATAAAAACTTTCAGGAACAGCAAGGTACTACCTCTCTCGACAGCGTAGGTAGTCCGTTCAAAGGCTTTCTTCAGGAAACCATGATAGATTTTGAGCAGCCTAACATATTCAACCAATTGGACGAGGTCAACGCCAATAAGGACAAGATATTACTCGATGATTGTAACGTAAATTACGCGACGCGTATCGCCGGTTGCAAGGGCGTGAAGATCGAAGGGCGACGGGATTACGAAACGCTGGAAACCGGTACTGATTACGCTAACGACGCGAATGTCAATGCCAGTGAGAATTTTTGTATCACTTTCGATAACGTTTTACTTGCTGCAGATAAGGAATGCACGACGAGCGAGAAGAGAGATAAATCCGACTTGGCGGCGACGGATGAAAGTGGAGAAGGACGCGTAAGAAAATCCTCGAGCGAGATAGTCGAGGCCGCGTTACGCGACGAGGACAACGATATCGATGAAGGCGGCGAGACGGACAGACCGTTAATGAACAAAGAGGGATACGCATCGTGCGCGGGATTAGTGATTAAAGAATCCATGTTTATTAACGAGGAAGAAATTATTCAGGGCGAAGCTCGAACGAAAGATTTGGCAAGTAAGCTCAAAACGACAACCGATCCTAGTTTATCCGACGCGTTAGAGACGACGATTTCGGACGACGCGTTGAGACTGCCGGACAGCCATGGCGTGGATCATCTCGACAATCACATATATTTAGAGGCAAATATATCCGCGGAAAAGGCGCCCTGCGACAAATTGCCGGGCTTCGATTCCGACGAGCATCTAGATAACGACATGTTCCTAGACTTGGACGATCGTTTACAAGGCACCGCAACGTTCGACAACAAGGACGACGAGTGCGTGCACTTCCCCGTTCAGGAAGAAAGCCCGCCGTACAACATCACGCCTGCGATCACTCCGGAAACGACGATGATTACGCAGATTACGCCCTGCGCCGATTTATCGAAGCCGGAGGATTGTAAACTCGACTTGAAGCACATATCGTCGTCGGACAATGATACGCTCGCGGAGGCGTCGGCGGAACAATCGCCGACCGACACATCGAGAACACTGAAACTGAATATCCGGACGAAAGCCGCCTTGAAGGAAGCGACGAATTTTATTTGGAAATCTCCGAACAATGTACCGACGGAAAATAAAGAAGTGACAATTGAGATAGATAAGACGCAACAGATGAGCGAGGCGTGTCTGAATTACCAAACATCGGCTTGGAACATAGACGGTCAAAACAACATAAAAACGCATGCGCTAGAGACTCCCAATGACACGACCGCGCAGGATTTTGTAAACGTAAACACAATATCGTCGACGCAAAACGGCTCGTGTGACCAGTCAGTTTATAAAGATATCGACGTTAACCACGACGGTAAGTCCGTAACATCGCCTTCCGGTAACATCGAGAAACGTCTTCACAGCGGTATGCTGCGTAATCCGGTTGTGGAATTGAGAAAGATGAAGGAGTTAGATGAACTGTTGGAAAAGAGGCGACAGCAAAATTCTGAGAAAATAAACGAGAGAGCCTACGAAAGTCAGAGGAAACACAACGGTACAATTTTGCACAAGTTGAAAGACAAACGACAGATGAAGTGTCGGTCTAAAGAAACGTCGAACAAAACCAGCTTGGTGAAGAGACTCAAGAAGATGAAGCAATCCGGAAGGATCGCCGCTACCACGAGGGAAGCTATTCTAGCTAGAATGCTGGAAATCGATCTCGAGATGCGTAAGCTATCGAATGAGAAGCTAAAGTTGCACGAGATATTACGGAATGATGTCTTGCCAACTGAAGATTCTGTGACGAACAGCAGCGTAATACTGAGGACGAGAGAAGACGATACTGTTGCCGGCCAATCTCAAGTACCGTCAACGTTAATATCGCAGAACAGTGAAATAAGTCATACCAAACAAATAAAAAACGCGCCTTCGTCGAGATCGTCGCTTAAGGAGAGAAAGAGAATCTCATCTCGCAATTCGGAGGATGATGAACTTTTCAGTTACAGAAGTGCACAGCCAGTGCACCAGAAGACGAAAATGCCTGTGATACGGTGGAAGAAAAAGCCGCGACTGGAGCAAACAATCCGACGGGAAGAAGAGGGGAGGGAAGACGAGAAGAAGGAGGAGGAAGACCTTGACGAGATGACAGAACAGCAGACTTCAACTTCCGTGAGTAGAAAAGTGGAGGATAGTACGGTTGACGCCGTACTATCTGAAGATATCATTCAGAAACCCGAATCGAACGATGCGGTAGATCATGAGACGCGAGAGGAGAAAATCACTGGAAAATCCGACAAGGAGGAATCTGCTTGTGATATCGATTTGAAGCGTGCGATCTGTTCAGATAAAAGCACAGCGGATAAAAATGCGGACGATCGTTCAGATTTGCAGGATCTTGCTAAAGGCGAGACCGAACGCGCAAAATATTTTGATATTGATAAACGAAACGTTATTTCACCACCAGACGAAGCGGCGAAGGCGGAAGCAACGAAGGCGAATTCTCAACCGCCGAGCAAGCAGGTGCACAGCACGCCGGAGCGTTTGTCTATATATTCTGACGACAGCACGTGGAATTCTCTGGTGCAGAACACCGCGTCGGAGATACACGAGAACAGGAAGGCGACGGGTCTCGTTTTGCTGGACGAAACGCTCAAGAAGGAACAGGCCAGATCGCGGAAGATGAGAGCGGAAGTGCGGAAGATGAAAGCGGAAGTGCGTAAGAAGAAGAAGCAGCAGCTGGATAACTTCCTGAGGACGGTTAACAACCTGACGATGGAGGAGGAGGAGCTGCCTCTGTCCAAGTTGTACATCAGGAAGTTGCGACAAAAGCGAGACTTGATCGACTCGCTCAGCCAGAAGAAGGAAGACACGGATCTCGTTGTCGATCCGAACATACTGAAGAGCATGGATGAGATGATAAACGCTGTGGTGGAAAACAAGGAAAGTCTTTATGAGCCTCAATTGGAGGCGCCTGCTTCTGAGGACATTCCAGCGACGTCCAACGTCTCCCCTGTATTGCAGTCCGATAATCAATTTTACGTCGATGCTGAAGCGAACGCCAATTCGGATTGGCCCTGTCGAGAGAAGGAAAACGTAGAGGAGGTCGCGTTGCGGCAGGACAGTAACGACGTGCCTGGTGCGGACGGATCGAATCACGTTTTTAAAGCCGTGAGCCAGGACAAGATTCCTTTCCACGACGAACGTAACAGGATGGAACCGGACAGTAGCATCACCCCTGAAGAAACTTTAATAGAGAACCATTCTTTAGATTGCGAGCGTGACCATTCGAAAGATTCCAATAATATCACGTCGCGCAGCTTTGACATTAAAGTATCCGTGCCTAAAATTTTAATAAAAGATGATTTCAGCCTGGAACTGTCGCAGAAATTTAAAGACACGGAGGGCGCTGTCGTGGGCACTGGTCTGGTTGATTCTACAACAAATATACTTTCGTCCAACCCTGAGAGATCGGAGGAGAAGGATAAGAGTTCACGAGATAGCTCGCAAGCCATTAAGTCGATCGTGGAGGAAAACAAAAAGGATGAGAAAGACGAAACGAAGGATAAACCCGCAGTGGACGCTGATGAAAGAGAAGAGACGGTCGACAGCGTAAGTAATGCACCACAATCTGTACCGCAATTGAGCAATGCGAAGTCCGGATACTCCGATATTAGCGAGAACGAGGAATCAGGTGACAGCGTTGCATCTAACCGGAACAATAAAATAGCAACAAGAGATACTCATGACTCGAGTGTCTCAGAGTCTACCGGAGAAAAAACAGATACAAAGCAGAAAAAATCGGATGCTGAATCCGAGCAGCTCTCGAATGACGCGATTGCTTTGAAACAAGATTGTCAAAGCATGGAGAATACAGCCGCCGAAGAAGAGGAGAAAAGTAATCCCGAGAACAAGTCACGAGCATTTGAGAAAATCCTGGATCACGATCAAAGCAATGGCAGTTCCATTCCAATTGATCTAACGAGCGAAAGATCGGAAGAATCCAACGATACGTCCATCGAACAAAAGTCCAGTCTGGAACACACGTCGACTTCTACCATCTCGTTCGACAAAGCAACCGCGAAGAGCGGAGAACCGAGTAAGAAGCTTCGTCGCAAGCACGACAACTCAGCGCCGGTTCGGAGGAGTGCCAGAAACTCCAGTGAGACTGTCAGGTCTAGCAGGGTAAAGGAAGTCGATGCTGATTCGAACAGCAGCGAACGAGATTCGAGCGTTCTTCACGAGACAAATTTCACAACGCGAAGCAGAAGCAAATCTCCTACGTGGGCAATGCCCGATGAAAAAGTCACAAGCAATGGTAGGAAGAATCGCGTTGCACGGAAAGTGCAAAATGTTATTAGGCGAAAAGTTATTAGCCGAAAAGCTAAGTCTAAAAAGGAGATCGTAAGTCTGGCTAAACACTCCGACATGATTACAGAATCCACAGCTTCGAATAACAGCACCGTGGCAAACGCGAAGAAGAGGAAACAGCACACGGAGGAGCAAATAAAAAACTGCAAAGTGAGATTGATCGACTGTAAGCCCGCTCTCCTTAAATATGTCAAACCCGAGGTTCTGGACAGACTTGGAATAATTGCCGTCAATCCTTGTGCACCGAGTGACACATCGTCTACGCAGCATACCACGAGCAATCAAAATACAGTAATTTCCATTGCAGCTTCTAGCAAAAGTTTCTTTTTCCCGGAGAAGCCCTGCGATAAAGCAACACCCGAGGTCGAACTCTTAGAAGAGAAGCCGATCAAGGAGAGTAGCGACAAAGATCTCACTCAAGAACCTGTTTCACAAGCACCAGAGATCGACGGCGAGGAATCAGCGAAAATGCAGTACACGGTCCACAAAGGGCCTATTTTAGACATCAAGGTAGCAATTCGATAGACGATTATACTCTGTATAAAACGAGCTAAATATAATTTATATATTGTTTTTAGGTTTTTAAGAATTCTTTCCTAGCAGCAAGTGAAGACAGTAAAATATACAGATACAGTCAGACGTCTAATGAGATACTGAATATCTATAAAGGTCACAAATCCGCGGTTACATGTCTGTATATCTGTAAGTCAGATATCACAGGAGTTAACAAAGAGCTTATGTATTCTGGTTCCTTGGATGGCACCTTGCGTTGTTACGATATATCGGTAAGATTTAGCGGTTTAGACGCGCAATTTTATTGAAAAACTAATTAAAAAACTGCCTCTTTGCAGAGTGGCGAATTGATAAAGAATCCGGCGCAAATAAACAGTCCGATTCAGTGTATGGATCAAGCATGGGGAATAATCTTTATTGGAACTAAATCTGGCCATGTCTCGCGTTTTCAAATCAAGGTAATTTTTTGTTTGTTTAAGCTACATTGATGTACATATTCCCAATATGGATATAGTAATTTATATTAAGAGAGAGAAAAAAAAGGTTGAGCTTTATCCATATATAAAAAAATATTTAACTAATATTTATATAATTTGTATTTATATACACATAAATTTATTTGCAGACTAGTGCCACTAAAGGAAGTACTATCTCATTTTCGGATAAGTCTGTACTTGCGCTTAAAGCGACAAATGAAGGCCCGCGAAAAATCCTTATTGTAGCATCTCGAAACCAACCTATAGCTATACGCGATGCACTGAATGGCTTGTTTCTCCGTACGATTAGCGGCCAGAAGAATCACACGGTTTACAGTTTATTGCGTCATAATAATTTGATCTATTGTGGTACAAGCAGCAGATCCATAAACGTTTTCGATTTCACGGCAAGTAACGATAGCTTTTCTAAACTGTTTCGAAATAGAAATTGAATTGTATAATAATTCTTAAAATATAATTGCAGACTGGTGAACAAGCAATTCAATATGATGCTGGTGTTGGTATTGTGTGTATGCGTCTTTATAAGCATCTACTCTTCGCAGGCTGTTACGACGGCAATATTTATGTTTTTAATATAAACGTGAGTGTTACATCCTCGTATCTGAGAAGTCATATAATCAGTTTATTACAATATATTTGCATTATTCGTCTTCAATTAAATTTCTTTACAGAATCACAAATTAGTATGTAGCATACATGGCCCAGGGAATATGTTATTAAGTATAGAGGTTGTAAATAATAAGGTACGTATTCAATATGCAAATTTCTTTTCCCCCTAACAATTTTTCCCTAATAGCTTTCTTTAAATTTGTGTATTGTGTATTTTTTTTTTCCTTTAAAGTATATTTTTTCATGAAATGGCAATAAATATTTTCTTAATTAATTTATTTCTGAGTATTTAGTTAAAAATGTGAAATAAAATAACATATTGATACTAATAAATACTGATCGGACTTTTCAATTTTATTATCTTTCAGATTATAGCGGGAAGTAAAGACAAGCGTTTGCATTCGTGGGAAATGCCGACTCAAGTGCGTGCCTTACTTTAAACAATGTTGTTGCACGTTCAAGAATTCTCTACTTTAAAAATAATTAATTGGAGAAACGATCGGCTAACAACTCAGCGATCGAATAATATTATGATATATAAATGTGTAAAGCAGTTAACGACACCGAAGTAATAATTTAATAATATATATCGGAATTGTACTAAAAAATGTCGAACATTTTCGAATTTTCTCACTATAAATAGCGTTATAATACTACATTCTTAATCTTCGCAAATCGCTTTTATTTATATCATATGTTTAATAAGTAAATGCTGGAAAGCACAAGATGCTAAATAAGATATTTATAATTATAGTACTATATGATATATCGTTCCTCTTATGCTAATATCATGAGCGATTCGATAAATTTTGGAAATTTATAATTGAATGTAAAATGTAATATCTTATTTTGACTCGATAATTGTAACTCGAGATTTTTTAAATTAAAATTGAAATTTATGTATACATTCATCATTATTCCAATTGTTTTGGCATACAGTTGAGAATAAAAAAAGACATTTATCCCACTTCTTTAATTAAAAAGTAAAAATTTGCACATTCATGGTTTTGCTATAAGAAGGACAATATATTTATAATTACGTACTATACGATGATAAGAACCGTTTTTAGTGAGGAAGTACTGGCGCCAAAATTATTTGTTATTATATGCTTACATATCTGTAATATGTCAAGTGTACAGTTGTAAAGAATTTTAGACTGAATTAATGCAATAATGAAAGTTATTTTATGTATGCTTTGCACACACAAACAGATTAGAAAAGTTTTCATTAACTTTGTAATCATCCGAAAATGTTGGGACATTTAATATATGTATGTAGGCATAAATTTCATGTCAGCGCGTGTCAACGTTTTGAGCTATTTCAAAATTGAGACTGGTATACACATAGTTGAGAATCACGCAAAATACATGGCATTCAGTGGTTTATATGAACTCTTTGTTAAACAATGCTCTTGTTCCTTGTTGGTATTTAGCGAAGATTTGTCGTCTGTTCCTAGGAAGCTATATGTCCTTAAAAAGATCTTGTTTATATTGATGCCAATATCATGCTTTATTATATATTTGCTTTGTCGTGTGTTTTTAATGGAAACAAATATACTCTATCATCCTTTAACTTCTATTTTATTGCAATAGACATTAGCAAATGTAAATAATGAATTATACCAAAATGTATAACAAGCCATGTATAATCTTATCAGAAGATTAATATAAAATTAATCAAAGAGTGGACAATGTGTATGTTTTATGATGTAAAAAATATGTATGTTTTATGTTATGTAAAAAAGGGACAAGTAAGAAAACGTTACATTTAATAAATTCTAAACTTATAATAAGCTGATACATTTACAATTCACTATTATTATAAACACATACAATTATTATATTTATTATTATATATGTAACAATTGTATGTAAATTTATGTATGGAACAATTACTATATGTAGTTATAAAAATCGTAGATGTGTTATTTGTCTGCAAAAATTAATGAATGTACATTGTTATAGGAATACTGCCAATACTCTTGAATAGTGATTTTGCAAAGTTCTCGAATAGGACAATGTAAAGAAATTTGATAGGTTTCTTTTCTTCTTAGGGTAAATAGAGAAATTTTTAATTTTGTTAAAACTTGCAATAAAAACATAAAATCCTAAAAGCAATCCCAATATATTTTTCATATTTAGAAAAGTGCATATGATATATATATCCACACATTGTGTAAATGTAAAAATAATTTATAATAAATTTACACATCTATACTCATTTACTGATACATACGTACACACATATAGGAATTTTTTTTATATCGCGATATTTTCCTGAAGTCATAGGCTATGATAGAATTGTATTTTCAATTAAGATGTTTGATTGCGTTATTGATTATACTCATAAAATAAGAAAGAAATAACTGAAGTTTGAAGTTGATATAAGTAATATATAGATTATTAGATTTTAAGATACTATAGTTGACTTTCGACCAGTGCTATTTAAATAGAAAGTTTTAATAGAATATCGTGATTAAACTATTTCTTTTTATTATTGAAGTTTGCAACTATAAACAAGTTTTACAACTATATGCATTACGCGTTTTATTTGAATCGTTCGCAGAGGTATGTTCTGGCGTCGAATCTGTTAAATCAATATTCATCTGTTGTCCCCTATAAATCTCCGAGAACTGCAGACGCGCGCGTCTATTAATTGAGCGATTCATAGACGCATCTTATTGTTAGTATAAGGTTAACAACAGTTAATAGAATTTTGAGTACAGAAAAAAATGTGTCTCTGCCTTGGACCATTCAAATCGGGCAAAACTCTCCTAATGAAAAGTCTCCAAGGAGACGAAATCGACGATGCGACTCATACTGTGCCTACCAATGGAATAAATATATATACTGTAAAAAATGATACTGGCGAATTCGATATGGTGATTAAAGAGATAGGCGGTAATATGGCACCGATATGGAAGCATTATTTTGATAAGGTACTGTGTAAAACAAAATCTCAACTTAATAAACGCACGATACAATTAAAAGCATATATTGCATTTCTTTCGTTCATTCGTTGTTAGATCCATAAAATAATCTACGTGGTGGATACCAGTAATCTTTGCCAAATAAGTGCCGCGGGCGTGCTGCTTTATTCTTTCCTCGTGGAGCCGCGATTACGGAACGTGAAGGTCGCGCTCATCTTGAACAAAATGGATGTTTCATATCGTCAGATGAGAAACGAAGCTCTGCTGATGCTGCAATACGCGCGTTTACAAAAGGAGGTGACGCAGAAGATCACCGTGTTGGAAACCAGTGGTATGACGGGCCAGGGGATAGAGAGCTTACGCAGCTGGCTGTTCGATCCGGAAACGCTGCGTGCCACGCTGAAGGCTAATAAATAGGCGACGATTGACGTCGCACGACGAGAACGTTACCTCAAAATGCATCATCCTTTTTATTTACACTCGATCTTACAAAGATATAAAGATATTACTCTACAAATCTTGGAGCATCCCTTGAAAAACAATCATTAACGAATGTTGTTGTAACATTACTTCTACGTCATACAGTTGATTCTAAAAAATACTGCAACGGATGCTAACGAAATAAACTCACACAATTCTCAGAAATGTTAAAAAAAAAGCAGAGAAAACAATTTTATAGAATGAAGCCGAAAGGTAAGAAAAAATTTACGTCATCTCTTTCGTGTATCAGCACTAACGAAAGTAACTGTATAAACATTCGCGCTCCCGCTTAAATCACCGTTTGAATCTTCTATATATACCTTCTAATATTCTTATAGATACATTCCATGAATTTAAAATATCGTTTACTTATACAACATTTAATGTATCCTTGTAAGATCCTCCACTGTTTTTACAAGATCGTCTACCGTCGCTTCCTTTTTCATGCCGCTGCCATCATCGATCTGTGGAAAAATATAGCGCATTAAGGCTCAGTTTCACAAGTGTCGGTTAACTTTTAACCTTAGATTAAGTCACTTTTCTAATGTCCCCCTTAGAAAGAGACGAAAAGTGAGTTAATCTAAGATTAAAAGTTAACCGACACTTGTGAAACTGGGCCTAAGAGATTTAGGAAAAATTAATTTATGCTTATACACAGGGCGAGGTGTCTAAATTGGGACATTTTAATATCTTGACAAGAAAGCATTAAAAAAATGTTTCAGACGAAAATTATATCGTCTGAGAGAGTGTAACTAATGGTAAAATCAATTTTTTCAAAAATTTTTTCAAAAATTGATTTTACCATTAGTTACCCCCTTTCAGATGATATAATTTTCGTCTGGAACATTTTTTAAATGCTTTCTTGTCAAGATATAAAAATGTCTCAATATTTAGACACCTCACCCTGTATATAAATTAAGAGGATACGCAATTTAATTACCATAAGACCTGTTGCAACTTCTGCCATCTTTTCGCTGTTCAGATCGAGGAAACTTTCTATCAGATCGCCATCTACGAATCCCTCGCACTGCTCAATCTTCAATTCTGTATTAAAACTTCTCCAAAAATTGTGCTCTATTTTGCCCACGCTCTTTATCACGGTGTTCAGCTTGTCCTCCATGTTGCGCAGAAATTCGTAAAACGTAAATGGTATTTGCGTCACCAGACCGATCGCGCCGCTCACAGTGCCGAATAATACGCAACCCTGGGTCGGCGTGCTTGATTCTCCCAAATTCTGCATCACCAACGAGCCGTGCCGGAAAACGTTGACCATGTCGCCTAGATGAAACTGGCCTACTTCTTGCATTTGCTGCCTCTCATCTTCCGACGTCGCGGCGCTGGAAAGAACTATTGTTATTTAAAATTGCATTATTAAAAACATACAAATAGGGATGACGCGTAGTTCCGCGTGAAAGCGGTCGACTCGCAGTCGACGAGTCCCAAGTTCGATCCTGACTCTCATCCCGTGTATGCCTCGGTTTACAAGAGGTTGATTAAAAAATTAATGGTTGCGAATGCGAAAGAATATGAAGTAACAATGGTAGTTTGTTCGGGGAAACCATATTTCAATAAAAAACGTATAAATCTGTATAAATCTACCGGCAAAGCATACCTGTCCTTTTGACATACGAAGAGATTGAAGCAATTTTCGGCGCCCAAAAAAGTATCGTCGTCTAATATCTCGATGGCAGTCATCCAATTAGGATTGTAGTCTCTGGCTATTTCCTCAAAGCTGCCTTCCATAGTCTTATATTGAAGTAACGTGAGGGATCTCATTAGATCCCCCACTAAAACAAAGTCGCCTTTAGTTTTCAAATATAGCGCTATAATATTGTTAAAGTGGCTGCACTCCAATCTGAGCTCCTTTTCCGCGGTCCACTCGAACAGTCGCACGGTACTGTTGATGCTCGCCAGGAGCTTTCCGTTAAATTCGACCAAGGAATAACACGAGCCCTTGATCTCCTTTTCCGCGACCTGCGTGAACTTGCCATCGCTCCAGTGATACAGCAGTATCCTGCCCATCTTGGGCTCAGTCTCGTCGGGATTTATAAACGCGGTCCCAACCACAAAGTAAGAGGTCGGATCCTCGCCCAGTCTTGTCGAGATCAATGATAACGCGTACTCGGTGGCCATCAGCGTATGGGCGTGCAAAACTTCGAAAGTATGCTGATCGATGATAAGGAGATTGTGCACCTCGATCTCCTGGCCAATCTCACTGGCCGTGTGTCCGCTGGGTTTGTTATGCGAGGCGACGTGGCTGCTACTGGAGGTGGACGCCGCCTGAGTAGACGCGGAATGCCTGACGATGCTCACCCCGCTGCTCTCCTGTACGTCAACTCGCATTGTGATCACGCCGAAGGTCTGTGAACTTTCCTGATAAGCGATTCTCCTTGGAGACTCCCCAAGCGGAACCGTTCTTATATGCAGCTTTTGGATCTCGTCAATTGTACCGATGGTAACGGTACTATCGGTCGCCAGTGCCAAACTGTCGCTATAAGATTCCGCGTTCAAGGAGCACATGTGGTTTACCTCTTTGAGATTGACATTGCTGAAAACAAGCTTGTGATTCGAGGAATAAATAACAGTGGGCCTGTCCGAGCACGCGAACACATTCGTCGTGGAGAGAGATCGGAAGGTTCTGAGAACAGTAGGTTGTGTGCCTAAGGTGACCTTTTTTTTGTCCGAGAGCACCCCGCTTTGTCGCTGTAAGATAAAATAGTACATGCTCCCGTCGCCTAGTGCGCAAAGTAAATATGTGTTACCCTCGAAACAAGTCATTAAGATGGACCTAGGTATAATCTCGCCCCCAAGAAGCTCTTTATTAATCTGCTCTAGATTGGGCAGAGTTAAGATCCGAACAGATATGTCCGTCCAGAGTCCAACAGCTGCAATCTTGGCCTCGTTGACGCCGTCCAGGGGGGAAATGTCCAGGCACGCTACCTCGTATTGCAAGGTGACGAATCCCTTGGATACAATCTGATTGCATGAGATCTCTATGTAGAACAGATCATTTCCCGTTGCGCAAAGGACTTGCGTGCCATTGCAAGCTACCACACTGATGGTCCTTTTGTTTTGCGGCTCCCACTCGGAGACGACCATTTTACTCTCGTACGATATCAATCTAACAGAGTTCGGAGTTATTTGAATGAACAAATCGTCAGTAACGTTGCCCGTATGAAAGGTTTGCTCATCCGAGACAAAACCCGGAATATCCGTCTCTTCGACTTCCTCGCCATTTAAAGTTAAAATCCTAGTCTGTCCGACGAACGACAGTACCAGTGTGTTGTCATATTGTGAACCGCCAACCTTTAGTGCCCACATGCCTTTAATCCCTGGTAGATCGATACTCGCGTGTTCCTGTATGCCTATACCATTTCTGATGATTCTGAGAGAGCCTTCCTTGAAGGCACCCGAGCACGTGACCATCTGCCCTTGGCCCTGTCTTTCCAAGTCTACCACAGCCATGTCGACGATAGGCGCCAGATTCGTGAATGTCTCCATAGGTACGCAATAGGATCCATTCTCATCTGCCTTTGTAATTAATTTGATCAATTGAGAATCACCCAGGCGACTACCGACATATATTACGCCATTGTCCAGATAAGTTATACATTCTGGTATACTGATTTCACCCAACAATTCGACTTTCAAGTCCTTCACTACCATCGTTCCATCAGGTTTCTTTTCTTGCTCCAAAAATAACATAAATAAATGACCAGCCATATCTCCTAACAGATACCTCAGTCCTTGATTATCTACCTTGGCGTAGCAAGTAATGGTGCTCTGCTTTATAATAGGCGGTACCACCGCGACGTATGTAGTACCATCGTGATACAAAATACTCTCCTGTCCTATTATGATTGCGCCACAAATGGGAGAAGGTACGGGAATGACCATCATAGCCTCTCGCTCCACATTATCCTGCCTCCATGGTATCTTGGCAAATTCTTTATCTCTCAAGTTAATCTCGTGTGTTTTTACGTGTCTACCATTGATATCCTGATGAATGAGAATTAAGGTAGGATTAGCACATCCGTGGAGAAAATTGACATCTTGCACTTGCTGCTCGTCCATACGGATTGAAGACGCTTTTAACTCTGGATTATCCTTGTCTAAAGGTATAATTTTGAAGAGGCCATCGTACAATCTGAGACCGATTACTCGTGCTTTTGGGTCAATGACAGCTTTAATCCCAGTCTCCGAAGCCTTCCCGATACGATCCGCCACATTCCCGTGAGCTTTCGTTATAATCTCTATATCCTCTCCCTCGCCGATACATTCCAAGATCATCGCATTATAACGTGTGGTTAATAGAAACAGAAGATCCTTCTTCTCATGCTGTTGAAAAATAAAAATTTTGTAAATATTACTGCGTAACTTAATCTCAGTTAAATCAATATTTGACATAACGTCTTAATATAATGTCTCAGCCCTGCAATATTTACATACGTTCTCACAGATTTTACATATTTTATATAGATTTTATGCATCTTTACTAATGATACTTTAGCACAGTTTTCTCTTAAAAAAATGTTTATTTACAACGTCTGTCTTACATGTATATTATACTAATGTTCTAAAAATATATATTTGTATCAAAAGTTTAATTCACGCAAGTCACTAGAGCACTGTAGAGCTTTTCTTGAGAATTCATTGGCGAAACGTAAACGTAACCGCCAGTCAGTGACTGCCATGACGAGAGTGTAAACACGACTCTTTGAAGAAACAGACCTTAGTATGGAAATAACCTTACCGGCGGTCTGAAGAATTTGATGACGGCTATCTTGCCGTAGATCCCAACCTCCTTCAGGGGCCGCAGGCCCTCCGGCGTCACGAGGTATATTTCCAAACGTACATTCTTGGCCAGGATCAGATTCAAGTCCGTCGGTGAGGTGAAATTACCTTGGAGAAGCGCAACAACAAAGCGATTATACCGCGGCGCAGCTCCGCCGTGCGATCTCGCAAATTTAATTCACTTACCGGTCACGCAGGCAGTGACAGCCGTTGGTTTATGTGCCGTCACCACGTAATGATGGGACATTGCTTTCATAATATATTGCCTGGCAGATGATAAACACTTTCCAACACAACCACGGATCCTCAGGCTCAGGCCTCGGCCGGAGTGCTCCGCTTACCCCGGTTACCCGTGCTTTTCAATTTATCGCGCCATGAAGTTGGTCACACTTCAGACATCGTTAGGTCCCTTTACAACGCACAGGGCGCCGTTAAACCCGACACTCATTGCACGCGTTGTTCTTCTACGCGCATCGTTAAACATTGGGTGCGTTCAGCCGATACCCCGCTAGTCTAGCAATCGTGAGCAGTCGCTCGTTTCCTCTCCTTTTAATCCATTGGGTCAAAGGAGAGGAAACGAGCGAAAACGAGCGACTGCTCACGATTGCTAGGCTAGCGAAGTATCGGCTGAACGCACCCATTAGGTCTGTTCTTTTTAGCTGAACTTGTTGCACCGTCCATCCTTTCTCTTTTTTTCTTCACGTTGGAGAGAAAAAGAGGAAAGATAAACGACGCAACAAGTTAAGTTAAAAAGAACAGACTTAGTCCGGTATTCATAGTCTTCAAGATCGTCTTAAGTAATGTCTTAAGACGCTAATACGGCTCTGTGATTGGTTCATGACATCTTAAGATTGAACTTAAGACGGTCTTAAATAACTATGAATACCGGCCCTAATGTTTAACGACGCGCGTAGATGAACGTCTAATAAAAGTTTAGAGTTTTTAAAACTCTTTAAAATTTTTCTTTTTGTGTCACTTCTTATTCGATTCATCCTTTACCAATTTCCGAGAGTTAAACTTTTCGAGTTTTCAGACATAAAATTCTAATTGAAATTTTAGTTTAGTGCCACTTTTCTTATGCATGTTTTGTTATGTTTTTTAATGTGCTGAATCATTTTCAAATGTTTATTTTAAGTTGATCTGATGAGAAAATAGCGAAATTGCATTTGAAGTAGCAGATTTGTAAAAATTTTAACAAAAACTCAAGAATATATATAACATTTGCTTACCACTCTTTTTCTTCCTACTACCTCTCGCCCCCCACCCCCTACTTTACTTAACCTAACATCACTCATTTTAAAACAAAAAATCAGCCCAACCTTTGACTATACTTATATAGGCTGGGTTCGTCTTGACGCTTTCAGCGCTGTAAGCATCATTCTATCTTTGTTGCACATCGAACATCAGACGAAGATAGAGCGATGCTTTCAGCGCTGAAAGCGTAAAGACGAACGCAGCTTACGCAGCCATAGTCAAAGAGGCCAACCCGTCACCCAACCCATACCGGCCATACCCAATTGGTTTAGCGATCTTATGCTACGCTTATGCTAAGCTATGCATTTTGTGTGCGATGGCCTTTATTGGGTGCGTTCAGCCGATACTCCGCTAGCCTAGCAATCGTGAGCAGTCGCTCGTTTCCTCTCCTTTTAATCCATTAGGTCAAAGGAGAGAAAACGAGCGAAAACGAGCGACTGCTCACGATTGCTAGGCTAGCGGAGTATCAGCTGAACGCAGCCATTGAGTTGTAGATAACATGGCCGAATCTGGAAATAGTGGAAACCCGGCCCAATCCAACCCAACAGTACACCTTTTTTAAAGGCCGGTGTCCACGATGCTAGAACTTGGTCCAAGTACTAAACTTGGAACTCTACTAAAACTTGCACTGAACTTGGATGCAAAACTGGTGTATCCACGTTCCAAGTTTCAGTAATTTTCCCTCGGTTCAAGAACTTGGACCAAGTTCTAGCATCGTGGACACAGACCTTTAGAGGTCTAGAGATAATTGAAGAATATTTCAATATTATCGACTATCAGTATAAATATCAGAATAATTCTTCACGCAATTTTAAATTCATGATTCATACAGATACTCTGTAAATAGGAATACATATCTACGACGCAATATTATATATTATCACAGTCACTAAATTCTTCTTATTCTAATTTTTTTTTCTATAATTTTTCATCACGCGAATTTCTACACGATTGTCGATCTTTAATAGATCCTGTTTTTTTATGAAAGCCAAGATTGAATGAAGATTCCAAAACTAAAGATTTTAAACTATAGTATTTAAGTTATATTTGTTTTAATTTTAAGTAAAATAGATTTTTTTAGATTACATAGGAACGGAAATCCAACAAAAGAAAAGAGAAATAAAAGAACCTCAATTTCGATGATATCAGAATAGTTTCTAAATCTGAAGATTAAAAAAAAAATCAATTCTGTTTCCGTTAAGAATATATTTCAAGTTCTAAGTAGAAATAACTTATGTACGCGCGCACTCGCGCGTGAAAAATTATTCTAGGAATCAGGGAAAAATGGACATATATATAAATCATTGAAAAAAACTAGTCCTAAACACAATTGTTTATAATTAAAACATACACGTCGGAGCAAAACATAAAATTTATTAAAAATTGGGAATGCGAAAAACACTTTTTGCGTATCTTACATTTTCAGACCATAAACTAACATTTCGTCTTACTGACTAAAACTATACAATTGTACAAAGATTTTCAACCTTCTACAATATAGGTCATCACATTTGATAATATTACATTTTATACATAATACTTCTGATGGGTCTAAAAGAATCGCACTTCACCCATGCGTATATATATATACATAGGTCTGCGTTAGTTGATGGTCTGTAGACCGTTTATTTGCAAACATAAAAACAAACTTTTATAACTGGCAGTACGCGAAATGAGAAAAAAGAAATCAGGCTGAAAAACAAATTCCATTGTATACGGTACTAGAAGAGTAAACAGGAGATAGAAGCAAATACATGATAGGTATGGTAAATATTTTGCCAAGCAGATAACAAAATAGCACAAACAGATGCGAGCAGTTCTCCTATAGAACATTAATCCTATATTTATATTGTTATACATTTATTATGTATCCGCATGACTGTATGGATATATACAGTCTTAAGGGAAAGAAGAATGGATCAGCAAATAGTAACGGGATATTAAACGATAGTCTAACAAGATTTAGCAGATATTAGAAGAAAGGTCAAATGTTGTTCGATCCCAACAAAATTGACTGAAGAATCTGCTTTATTTAAACGTTGCATCGATATATCGAATGGATGCAGCCTGCCTTACCGTGAGAACTTTTTATAATATCGAACGTAATATCATACTGATACGTACCGAGAAGCAATTTTGAAAATCTACGTAGGTAAACTACCGGTTTCATTCAGAATTATGTGACCGTTAGAGAAATTAGTAGGTGTTATAGATGTTCTGGGGCTTCCAGTTTGGCTAGTATCGCAGCTATCGCTTTTGTTATCTGTTCTTACATTATTATCTAATCTAGGTTTATAAGTATGCTTAGGAGATGTTACTGGACTCGAGAGAGAGCAACTACATCCACTTTGGTTGCTATTACTAGAACTGTCGCTGTCGCTTTCACTGTCGACACTAGATTCGGAGCTGCTCGCTCGTAATCTCTTCTCGGTACGCAACACCTCGTTCTCCCGCCTCAGCTGCTCATTCTGCTGCAGCAGATCGTCGATTCGCTGTTGGCACAGCTTCAATTTCTTCGCCATCTCGGAATCTGTAGTGGACACATTTTTATTCTCCGAATCCCTTTCCTCCATTTGATGAATGCCCTTGTTACGTAATCTTTTCGTCAACGAATCCATCTTGGCCTCTAAGTGCCTGTATTCTTGTATCAATTCCATCTTCGTCAGCGTGCTCAATCGCTCCTCGTGAACAGCTTCATACGCGGTTGAGAATTCCTTCGTTAAAAATTCCTCTTCGTCTTCCGGTGACGAGTAAAAATAATCCTCGTCGGAATCTACGCTGAAACTGGAGTCGCGAGTCCGCGATGGCGCCGGTGGCTTTTGAAACATAGCAGGTACTTCCAGTGACGCGGCTTCCGATAACTTCTGCTCGAGATCGGGCAGATCGCTGTGATCGGCCATAAGAAATTGCGTGGTGTTATATAAGGCCGGTGGTTGCCTGCTAGTCTTGGCGATCATCCTGCCGATGCACCTGCTCCGCAATTGCTGCGGATAAGACAGCTGCTTCGAGTACGGCTTCAATTTCTTCTTGGGTTTACCACGTCGAGTTTTTCTCTTCTTCGCCGCGATGTCCGTTCCGTCCTCATGCTGACCGCCGTCCTGATCGCCGCTGCCGCTACCGCTTTCCAATCTTCCTAAGGTGCTTAAAAAGGCCTTCCTTAGGTCCTGCAAAATAACAAAAACATGCTGTTAAGTAAATTCGATATACGTTTGCATAATAATTGCAATTTTATATACGTTTATAATCTATTTTGCAACCGTAGAAAAACCACCGAAATTAATGAGAATCATCAACCACATGGGTAGATTTTTGTATCTATCATGGGGCCCCGGGGTCCGAAGGTAATTGAAGAGCATCAACATTATCGACTGTCTAAATTAAAATTTATCACCGACAGAAATATCTAAATAATTAGCTGACAAGGCAGCATTAAATTCATAATGTTTTCTAATTATGCATGCATATTTATAACGCAATAACATCACATACACTACATTTTTTCTAACTTTTCTAATATAATTTAAGCACAATAAAAGTAAATTTATTAGATAAAAGTCAAATATTATCAAAACGTAAATATAAATATATGCGAAACGTCGGGATGATAATAAGTGATAAAATTAATATTATATTATATATAACTAAATATTTAAATTCAACTGATCCGATTGAAATCCAGCTAATTTCCAGTCGTTTAAATTTTAACAAATCATACAAACTTCTACAAAATTGTCCATCTTTGAACAGTACCTTGTCAGCGAATAAACCAGGGATTTTAAAAATATTATCGTCACTTATTGATCGACTGGGGCTTACATTGCCTCCGTCAGGGCAATCGTCGCCCCGCTCCGCGCTCTCGCCGACAGATCGCGGCACTCGCTTGGCGACCGGAGGCGATGACGTCGCAGGCGTTGGCCCATCCTCTACGCCCTTCGCGTCGCGTACTCCATCATCGGCACCGCCATCGCCGCCGCCGCCGCCGCCGCCCGACGCTTTCTTCGTCGCCGTAACCGCCCTGTGCAGCTCCATATCCGCGATTCGTACCCGAATCCGTTAATACGCGATGGCACGATCACGCACCTACACCGTAGAGTCACTCTCGCGTACTGGCACCAGCCGTCGCGGCACTAGTAACCGTATGCTCGTACCGTAAACAGCGACGGATTCGCCATGTTTGATTCGTCCGTGATTTTACGTACGATAGCGAGGCAGCGACACGCTGACGTACGGTCCCTACCCCCGACTACCGCGGCCCACTCTTGCGCCATCGCGTTCCGTTCCTCCGAATCCGCGTCAGCGCCTTCTCTCGCGCCGCGCATGTTGCTTCGATCTCTGCTGGATCGCGCTACGCCGCGCCGCGCCGTGCTGTAGCGCAGCGCGCAGCGCAGCGCTGCGCGCAATCCGCAATCGACGCGACGTTGCGCATAAATGTAATTGATATAATTTATAATTCGCATACGCGAATTACTTCCGTAATTACTAATGATCGCGGTTACTGACGATCGTAGGAACGAAAATAGGAACGGTAACGTAGGGCGGATGATCCCGCGGCAGGATCTGACTCCTCGCGACCCCGCGTCATAAATCATTTCATTGTTCTATTGTATTTTTCCGCTAATTGGGCCTGCGAAACTGAATCCTTTTTAGTTCCTCGTGTCGGTCACTCTCGATTTATCGCGATTTATCAAGTTTCTCCCCCGAGAAGATGATATGCGTCTTGCCTGTCGTATTTTCGTCGTTATGAAAGTAGAAATCGCATTATGGGAGATACTCGAAAGTAGAGATCCCCCCTCCCCCAGTGAGCAAAATGTTAACAGTATACTAATAGTAGATTCGGATAAAATGTTGCGGCATCAACCGCGTCCGCATTCGTCGCATATTTCGCCAGCAAAACCTGCCGACGCGATCTCCAACAGCGGATTCAGCCAACCGGAGTCCGTCATCCTCGTAATGGCCATTTATTTAAACGGCCACATACTGTATTTAAACGTTTCGGTTACGGCACGGCAGATTTAACACGATTTCCGCACAACCAGACGCTATACCATATTGCATTCCGTTAACGAATTGCGTTACATTCACGCTGGGATGAAAATTCCGTAGCGACGGAATTCGGTGGCAGAGATTTTGCAAGGTCTGCTTTTGACAGATCCCGGCTATCGTTTCTCCGGGTCATCTGCCAGCCGTCGAGATCCAATCGACAACCGTCCACGAACAACCGCAAAACGGTTTCAATTGAAAGAGAGATAAAAATATGCCTTACAACAGGCATGACGAATTGGTTTTGGTTTCACAATCTCCACGAGCCTGCTGAAATCTTATTATGTACCCAGCACACCATCCGCGCACACCGAGAAAGGTGTAAGTGCGCATCGCCTCGTCGTCCTTGCGCGCACAAACGCGGAAAGCGTGTATCTTTAGTCGGCGATGATCTCCGATCGTTATTCATGATCATGAAAATTAGTTCCCTCGCGTATGACGTAAACCGTCGTGAACAAAATTGGTCTGCCTTCAGTCTGCACTTATATATTTTACATTTTTTAACGATACATGTATACATATTCAGACATTGTGAAAACTATTGTGATAATATTCAATCGTTTCCTATAATAGAAGAAATCAACAAGAGAGTGAAAATATAATCTAAGATTATTTAATAGATTTATATTAATTATTTAACTTAATATTACAATACAATGATTACTTAACGTAAGTTTCACAGTTAAGAATTATATAATAAATTTATGTATAATGTTATATACATATGATGTATATGTATAATTATATAGTAGATTTATGTATGATAGAATGATTAAATTCTTCGATTGAAAGAAAGAAAAGGAGGAGGAGGGAGATAAATAGATAGACGAATTATAGATAGATAGATAGATAGATAGATAGAGAGAGAGGGAAGAAGGAGGGATACAAGATTCAAATACTCATAGCGAACATTCTTCCATAATTGTGTAAGCGGAAATGTGGCGTTTACAAAATTACGTGCCGCCGTTACATAAGACCGCCAAACAATAATCCTTGCTCGAGACGTTTTCATCTCTCTCTCTCTCTCTCTCTCTCTCTCTCTCTCTCTCTCTCTCTCTCTCTCTCTCTCTCTCTCTCTCTCTCTCTCGCGCGCGCGCGCGCGCGCGCTTGAATTTCCATCATACTCGGCGGTGGCTCGGCGAGCCACTAATTGGCCAGCGAGGGTAAAAGAACGTTCGTTAGCAAGCAGAATCGTTCGTTAAACGGAAGCGCGCGTTGCATCTGTGGCAACGACGCCGGTTTATGTCGATGTATCTGTCGCGCTACCCAATCGCATTGTGATCGCGATCGACTCCTCGGGAGGAAAAAAAACGCAACTTTCGCAATGTGCCAGCGCGAGCGTATACATACATACATATACATCCTTTATTACAAATTACAATTTCACGCTGTAGGTCGTTGCACTCCGTAGATCCGCGAGATCCGCGCCTCTAAGGGGAAAAAAAAATGAAATTACTTGTCGAGAATAACAGCTGCGAATTGCAGCGCGAGGATTCTCTCTCTCTCTCTCTTTCTCTCTCTCTCTCTCTCCTCTTTCTTTCGCAACGCAACCATAATAAACACGATGTACCATGTACCTTCTCCAATTGAGCGACGCGACATCGATTTGTCCGTTGTTATCGTCGACGATGTTGCTTAATTAAAGACAAACATAAATATCGTGAGGCGCCGCCGGGATAACGCCGGAGGATCATCCATCGCGAGGGGGAAGAGCCCTAGGAAACGTTTGAACAAAAATGTTTTTGAAACCATGATTTAAGAAACGTATTTTTTACGTTTCTACAATTAACAAAAATACCTATTTGTTAAGTTTTTCCTTTCTAAATTATAATTTGCTTTATCTATAGATTATTGCACAAAATAAATCATTTTATCCATACACATATATCCACTTATTTACTTAAATTAATTTTATCCTACCTATAGTCTTAATCTATATTTGTCATCGGACAAATCTGAGCTTAGAAAACTTTCAACAGTTGCAAAATAAACGTTCTGCTGAACGTGGCCATTGAAAGAACATTTATACGTGTGTTCCGTTTTGAAGAACTTCCTGAACTGGTGCACATCAGTAATGCAATAGTTAAAGTGAGACAAGTATAGGGCCAGAGGAAAAAGATTGTCGTAACCGTTTACGACAATCCTTGTGCGTAGGCCCATTTTTGTTTCACTTTAACTTATTGCACGAATGTGCACCAGTTCAGGAATTTCTTCGAAAAAGAATAGACGTCATAGATGGTATATGCATAAAGCTTCTAGAACATTCCCACGCATGTCTCAATTTAAAGACGTCATAAACACGTCATAAACACGTTCAAAAGACATGCAAAGTAGGAATTTTAAATGTCTTTATCTAAAATGTCTTTATCATTAAAACGTTTCTATAATAATTTGTTAAATGTTATTTTATCGGAAAAGAAACGTTCCATCGACCGTTTTTCGAATAGACATTTTTACTCATGAGAAACGACGCTTCTAGAAATCGGTTATAAAACGTTTCGGAAAAACGCTTATAAAATATTTCTGAAACGTGTATGTGCTATCTGGGAGGAGGCGAGGGGAAGGAAGAGAAGAAACCGAAGCTCGAGTAATCCTCGAAGATCCGAAGAGATAAGAAAGCCAAATCGCAAGAGCCTCGTCAAGCGTAATAGGAGGTAGGAGAGGAGTAAGAGCGATGTGGTCCCCGCGACGATCGCACGTAGCAAACTTCTTTCTTTCTACCTCGCCCCTTCCCCTATTTTTTTCTCTCTCCGTCTCCTCGCAGTTAGTACATATATTCGTTTATTTTAGCGTACGCGCGTAACGATGCGTGCGAGCATTACATACACCCGTTACAAGATTCGCGCGCGCGTACACACACACATACACACACACGCGCGCGCGCGCGCACGCACGCACCTTACGCATCGCCGATAGCCAATATGCAATTCCGCCACGGGTGCAATGTACGTGAACGCGCGGAGAACTATAAATACGGAGAGTCCGCCGTCCGCCACGTGGGGGAGTCCATACGTCCCGTCCTTATGGCCCTGGTTTTCCTTTGTTTCCTCTTCTTTTTTTCTTTTCCTTTTGTTTTCGTTCTTTCGTCCCTAAACGCGCGCGGATGCCATTCCACGCTCGGGGCGAAGAGGAAAGGAGGGGGACGGCGAACGAATGGGAAAAAGGGGCAGGGGGACACGGCACGAGGGGGTATTTAACTAACTTCACTCTCACTCGCGCGTAAGCGCGCGCGCGCGCGCGCTATCACCAACGCCGCGGAAGGGCAAACAAAAAGAGCGAGAGATGCTCGGCTCGACGTGAGGAGAAACGCTCGCGGGTACTTACGAGAGAAAGAAAGAGAGAGAAAAACCCCGTCGCGCCGCGCATTAATTTACATAAGCACCTCGAGCGTTATGTGTAAGAGCCTCGACCGATAAAACGTTCGGCCTGAGCGTTATCCAAAAAGGAGAAAAAAAATCGTTTGTCCTAACTCCGAACATCTCGCTGTAACCTAACTATTCGTACGTTGCGTGCGTATATGTGATCTCTCTCCCCCTCATCTCTCTCTCTTTCTCTCCCTCGTGTCAGGTTACTCGTATGTGTTACGGCGTGGCCTTAAAGGCCGTCGCACACACAGATTCGACGGTATAGGCGTATAATCATAGCATACATGCAACAAAGTCTCGCGCGAGAGAGCGAGAGCGAGAGAGAGAGAGAGAGAGAGAGAGAGAGAGAGAGAGAGGCGTGTGAAAACAGTTAATTTATATCGACGATTCTTTAGACTGGCCCGCGCGCGCAAAACGCTATGTATGTAATAAGTAACCACGTTCTCGCGTGTGTCAAGGAGCATTGCGTGAGCGTGTAGGGCCTATCCGGACGAACTTGCATAGCTGCATAATCATATGCATAAAGAAAATGATCCAATCGCATTGCTATCGTATGGACGCGCGTAAAATGTGATTGGATCATTTTCTTTATACATATGGTTATGCAGCTGTACAAATTTGTCTGGATTGGCCCTGAAATTCGCGTAAACGCATATAATAAGCGCGTTAGGGCCAATTTCATCAACGTCGGTTAACTATAACCCTCGGTTAAACTCACTCTTCATCTTTTTCTAACTGCTTCCTTAAAAAGAGACGAAGAGTGAGTTTAACCGAAGGTTAACCGACGTTGGTGAAACTGGCCCTAAAGAGTGTGTCCCGGACGGAAGAAACGGCGTTTAGGGTTATTATGTATTTCAGGTGTCCCGTAGGTATCTCCCTTCTTCTTCTTCTTCTTCTTCTTTCTTTATATGGCTCCGATCTTCTCACTCGGGTTCGATTTGGCTACGTACTGTATCGGTAGCGAGGTCGTTAATATAATGTTTTAACATGTGAATTTATGCGCGTACACATGGTACATATACATGTACGCTCACATGTACGTACATACACTCATGCCACATGTATGTATGTACGCTTCGATAAACGGCTAAATTCATGTGTTAGGGCATTACAACCCCCCCTTCCCCCCGTGTATAGTTGTATACGTGCGCTTATGCCTGGCCGATGTCAAATCGCGTGTGCTGTGGCCTGAAGTCGTCATCCTTCGCCGCGCACGATCGTAATTCGCGCACACATTCACGCCCGTTCATCCGTGTGCGCCTGTTCTATGCGCTATCTTCACTCGGAACCTACTTTTCGTTCTCTCGGTATGCGTGCGTACCGTATGTATGTGTGTAATGTGTGTTGCTTGTCGCGCGGCGCAAATGCGATACACTTACATATGGGTATAGGCACCGCGTCGACGGCGCGCATGCGAGAGTGTAACAGAACGAACGACACGGTGTGGACTACAGGTCACATTTGTGCGTCTTATTTGGGAGAGAAGAGGGATCTCCGCGAAAGTCATAGAGGGAATCGAACCCACTCCGTTGCAGCACTTCTTTCCACGAGAGATGCAGATCTGAAATTTCACGCGTGGATTCCGCGCCCGTTCCTGGACGAACGATATATGTATCGTCCGCTTTTGTCTCGTGCCAAAAGCCGCTTCAGCCGTTGCGAGCCGGAGAGATTGATATCGACATATGATTTCAATTAGGCCAATGTATTAACCCTCTAATAGGCAAGGTTGTTTTTCAGAACGTATCTAGAAAGGTGGAATCGGATCTGTCCCGATATGCTCTTTTGTTCGTTTTTCATCTAATCAATATACAAAATGAGTAAGGGCCAGTTTCACAAGTGTCGGTTAACTTTTAATCTTAGATTAACTTACTCTTCGTCTTTTTCTAAGGGGGACGTTAGAAGGAGACGAAGAGTAAGTTAATCTAAGATTAAAATTTAACCGACACTTGTGAAACTGGGCCTAAAGGGCCACTATATTTCCAACGTTTGTTTACTCCTAAACGACCGTTAATTTTTCAGACTAGCCAATAGAAGTTGGATATTTCAATAATCAACGGTCGCTAGAAGTTAACAGACGTTGGAAATAGTGGCCCTAAAAGAAGTAAATATCAATATGAAACTTCTCTTTATTTATATGAAAAAAAAGACAGTAAAGTTTATTAATAAATATATGTCCCAAATATCCCAAAATCGTCGCAAACAAACGTATGTATAGAGTTTACTTTCGCACTCATGCCTGTCCCATAGATATCTTGACTACCGATATAACTCTACCGAAGTTATATCGGTCTCGCCACGCGATATACAAAGCAGGGAAGCTGGAGGGAGGGAGGGGAAAGTAGGGGGATTGAGTTAACCAGGACTAGCGTCGATCAACGCCTGGGTGTGCGAACGAGTCGAGTCGAATCGAGAGCGAACGACATTTCGGTATTGATGATCGTATCGCCGAGAGTCCCTCGGGATCGCGGGAGGATAGACAATCCATTCCGTCCCGGCCAATACTTAGTTATTCACGCTTGCGATGAGTCTGACGCTCCTCCCGGCTTTCTCGCAGCCATAACAAAGCCTCGGCCCTCGAGGCCCTCGAGTAGAATTCTCCGGGCACGCGAATCGATGCACGTGCACGGGATGCACGCGTCGCGCAGCGTTCCGGAGGAATCCCGTGGTGGTATACTGTGGTATACGCACGGAGGAGGCCAGGCAGGAGGCTCGTGCGACCGCGCCGGCATTCGAATGGATCCGATTCGGCGTGTCGCGACGATATGTTGATATTTATACGCGCGCACAGAAATGCGTGGCGTGACGTGCGTGCGTGCGTGCGTGCGTACGTGCGTTTTGTAACGCACGCCGGCTTTGTTACGCGTGCGTATACGTGCGACGTAACGACCGCGCTGGCTCTCTCGCAGCCGCGTCCCCGCGTATCCTTGAACACCCGGGATGCTCGGGATCGGGAGATGATTCCCAGCAAACGCGCAGAATATAACTGCTGCGTAATATATAGGTAAAGGCCTGACAACCTGACAAACAACACAATACAAAGATACAGGCAATAGAAACAAAAGCAATAAGACAGGCAACAGAAATAGCCCCATTTCAACTTATAATAAAACTGAAAAACTGTGATTAGTTAGGTACAGACAATAGAAAACAGAAATCCATACACGTCGGAAATTCTATTTCTATTGCCTATGCTTTAGATTCCGTTGCGCTGATACACAGTTTTTGGTAAGTTATTGAAACTAACGGTTATTTCTGTTGCCTGTCTTATTCCCAGCTGTTTCTATTGTCTAGCTGTATGTGCGATAGATTTAACACACGTAATTAACCCTAGAATCCATGACTGGGGTCGATTTCGACCCCAGGCGAACTTTGAACTACGCTCCTGAGCTAGCGAGTGACATTATCGACTCAGGACCTGAACCATAATTCATTTCAACTTTCTAAAAGTAGGGTTATGTCGGGCGCAGCGTTAGTTGTTCGCTAGTGTTCGCTAGCAGTGAAGTAGCACAGTCGCAAAGCGGGCGTGGGGTCGATATCGACCCCAGTCGTGACTTGCCGTTTGAGTTTCGTCACGGTAAGCTAATTTTATTTTTTTGCTAGAATCAATATATATCATGTATTATTACGTAATCTGAGCATAAATAGTCATAAATATTATTTAAGACGAAATATCACACAATTTAGTCGGTAAAAATCCCGTTGCCTATAGAAGATTGACATTTCGCAGAAAATGGCTGGGCGATATAATGTTTCATTTTTTTCATATTTTTTACTATTTTGTATCAAATAAAAATGAAATAATACTTAAAATACAATTTTTTATGGTTTTTTCATCGACTTTTTCCGTATTTCAACTTTGCGAATTTCTTCATCTTTATAGTCCCAAATAAATATACTTTTTGAACAGAACATAGCGATGACAATTTTTTTCTAATAGTCTAATGTGTCCTCTTTAAAACCCCGTTTGAATTTTTAAAATCGGTTGATTACAAAAAAAGATACAAATTTTTGTTTAAAAAAAGAGGTTTTTGCTGATTTTCTGCGTTTTTCAGTCTTTAAATGGATTTTTCACTAACTAAACTTGAGTAAAATTAAATTTACCGTATACCATTCTCTTCGTTATTAAAAAACGAAGAAATTCATGTAGGTTTAAAGGCCCTTTATTTCTGTAGGACCGGTTTTACGATCAAATAAAGCGTGGGGTCGATATTGCCCCCAGTCATGGATTAGAAGGTCAAAAAAATGAGTCATGGATTCTAGGGTTAAACGGATGTTATACCTATTTATTAATGTCGAAGTTATAGACCCTTTTTTATCAATGCATAACATACATATATATGTTATATTACATTTCCGTTACTTCGGCTGCGTTTCGATACTCACTATACCAGTACTGAAAATCTATAGTTTACGTCACGTATACTATATATGTGAATATCGAAACTCGGCCATAGTTGCAAAAGAATTCGAAGGAATTAAAACTGAACATCTAATTGTTTGTTACAATTCGTTAAATTAATTACGACTTATAATTATTATGTATCGGTGTTTGCTGGGTTAGGACAATCGCGTGCTCCTCGTGGTTGCGCCACGCTATTACTTCTCTCGCGAGTCTCGCGCTTAAAATGAAGTAGATAGATATATAGTGGGACGTGGGGGCACAGGAGGGGAGAAAGGAAAGACGAGAGATGCGGAAAGCTCGGTTACAAAGAGCAAGAACCTTCCGCATTGGCCGTTATCAACCACGGGCCGAGATCAGCGGTCGATCGGCATATTGGCATCGAGCGACGACTATTCGCTTTTGCGACAAAACTCGCGTTACCATCCACGTGATCGTACGCGTGAACGCGTGTGAAAAAAATCGTCGATTCGATCGCCGAAGATATCCGAATGTTCTAATAACCGTGATCTCCGCGCTTGTTTTCTTTCCCCCTCCTCTCACTAACCGAAGTATGAGATATTAGGTGCGACACAAGTCGACACAAGCATCATTCTGTCTCTTTTCAACATCTAGTGAACAACAAAGATAGAATGACGCTTGTGTCGACTTGAGTCGCTAAATGAAAAGCACACATTTTCTAGTTTCTTTTCGTTTTTTTTTGCGTAAAAAAATATAAAAAGTGCAGCTAAAAATAGAATCTCATTCTATTTAACTGCACCTTGCGTATCTGAAGTGTAATAACTTATAACTGTATAACTTTTTAGAAACTTTGATGATAAGAAAACGGACGAGAGACATAGAAAGTGTAATTAAAAAGAAAAAAATGTTAATCCAAAAGGGTCTGCAAGTGTGATAATCACATTACATGTGTTAGCGTGTGAATGACAATAATACATACGAATGATAATATAGGGTAATGATTTTATTGCGACACGATGAGATGCCATCGAAAACAGCACAGATGGAGCGATCGTAGCTGCTGTCGTGTGTGTGTGTGTGTGTGTGTGTGTGTGTGTGTGTGTGTGTGTGCGTTGAGCCGTGTGAGTGGCGTGAGCGCTCTAAAATTACATCTTCCCGGTTGTTGGGTTGTTCCCGGTGTTATAGGTATATACAAAATTGCGTCTGCTGTTTGAAATCCTAAATAAAATGGTAAGAATATTAAGGAATTTGTTTAAAAAACTAATGGTATAAAAATCGTATTATGCGCATTGTGAGAACGTAAAATGTTATTAATGTCGAATTCTACGAGAAGCAAATGCAGTGAATAAATGCAGTGCTAGAGCAGTCACATGCAGGTTTTTCGTCATCTTTTCGACGTTGACAAACGTATAATGTTATTATTGTAAAACGACGAGAATTTCGCAGTGAAAACAGCCGTACATTTCATATAAGATGACATTCAGTACGAATATAACTTTAAGATTAAATAGAAGGTTAAGTTTCTTCGATGCTGTCGAGTCTCTTCTTCAATCTCTCCATGACATCTATATACTTTTGCTTCTAGCGAGGCATTTATTATATCTAGAATGTCGAGTTTAAGATGTTCGTTGAAGAGAAAATATTGTTCCTCAGGCAAGCACGGTTGTGGCAGCAGGTATCGGTCTGGCAGCCGTTGGGTTCGCGGGTCGTTATTTACTTAGGAGAATGCCGAATTTATCACAGAGGATGGCAGAGACTGTGAAGAGGCTAGATTCCCAGGTAGAATTGTCTATTTTTCTTCAGATTTCTAGTAGTTCCGACATGTATGTACGAAAGTACTAACGCTTAACATTCGTAGTCACTAGCGAACAGCAAGTATTACAAGGGTGGTTTTGAGCCAAAGATGACCAGGCGGGAAGCCAGTTTGATCCTGGGTGTGTCGCCCACGGCTAGTAAGGGCAAAGTAAAGGAGCAATTTAAAAAAGTAATGGGCGTGAATCATCCAGATCGTGGCGGTTCCCCGTACATTGCTGCAAAAATTAACGAGGCAAAGGATTTGCTTGAGAAATAATGGAAACGTAGTGTGCTTGTATATTTGTAATTTATTTAGGAACAAAATTTTAATGTACATAGTTATAATTTAATCTTATATATCTACTCTATAATAAATATACTTTATTTTTGGAGCTACATATTATATTATAGGATAATTAATTTTTTTTGAACACCTTTACCAGCCGGATTAAGTTTTTAAGAAAGTTTGTGCATAAACAGAGAAACTGCATGTGCGTAAAAATTCAGAATCAATTATAAGAAAATATTGTACAAGGATAACTGTTTTTTTTCCTCAGATGGCCGTATTATGGAAATATTAACAAAATATCACAATAATGCAACTTTTATCATATATAGCTTATAATACTTTACATTTTAATATTCTCGGTAAAATATTTATAGCTTGTTTTAATTATATTATACAATGTATATACAATAATAAACAAAGATAAACTTAAAAGAATTGAGTAAATGTATCATACTTACATTACTAAAAAACATTATATGTACAGCAATATAGAATAGCATAATTATGCAGTAACAATATAATACAGCTTTATATGCATTCACTTTGCAGAAGATGCAAACGAATAACATAATAGACTAGAATATCTTTCGGTGTATGTGGAAAAAGTTGATCATTAATACTATCGTTCCAACTTATCTTGCTTTCGTTTTATATGTTGTTGCATGGTCTTTGTTCTTAGTTTTGTTATTGTATTCCCAGGCAGTGATCCAGGTACTTTAAAAATACTCTGCAAAACAGTAAAAATATCTCCGTAAATATTCAATTTCTTTCCCTATTTGATGTACGGATTACACGCAGTGTACAGTTTTATACCTGCATAAACTCGTGACATCGCAAAACAATACTATCTTGCGTAATTTCCTTGAAACATTCGGCTAATGTTGTAAAATCTTGGCAAGCCAATATATTAGATCTATTCCTTTTTATGAGCGTCAATGCGACACGAAAGATAATCTTGGTACCCTCGTAAAAGAGACAATCCCAAATACGTAGAGTAGTCTGTAAATTCGAAATTATCTAACATTTTTAATATATTTTCGCGTCCGAAATATCTGGACGTTTTATATGGAAAATAAATTATGTTTGCACGTATTTAAATATTATTCTGTAAAAAATGTTTTGGTGTAATAACGTACCTCGATAGGTAAAACTTCAGCGAACAAGCACACAAACCATTTAGTCGTGATTACTGGCCAAGGCAATCCTACGTTTGTTACATGTTGATACACATCAGGCATTTTTATTCTGTAAAAATAACATACATGCACAAATATTCTCTTGATAAGTGAAACTGCAGCAAATTCTGTTTTACCTTACTAATTCTGCGAGCACGTCGATATCGGTGAGTAGGCCGTCCATAGTGCATGTGTAATAATCCGGCAGGATTTTATCAATCAGCACTTTTAATAACCAAAATGCTGTCTCTTCGCTCTTTGTTACAAGCAGAAGTAAACCTGCTACATAGTTTAAACCCTGAAAAAAATATTAAAAACGTTTTTAAATAAGGCGGAACGTACGCACCTGCTTAGAAGTTTCTTCACAAAATCGTATTTATTACTCGGAAAATTTGATTGCTATTCATATATTCGAAAGTGTGCACCGTAGGTATTACCTGGCAATATCCGACAGTTTTGTTTTGATGAGCGAAAGCCAACAAAACGTTGTATAATTGATGCTGCTGATTCTCCGTGTTATTAAAGAATATATTGTCTGGAAATGTTCTTGGCAGGTCAGTTTTAATAATCTCAGCGGTTTCTGCGTTGTGAGGCGACAGCAATAACTTTTGATAGAGATCCGGCGACGCATTCTTCATGTCTTCTCCACCGCTCACAGCGAGCCATACCTGCAACGCGATCCAAAACATTTTTATTCCCCGTATTAAATACTCAAAAGATAACAAACTGAACTTTATTTGTAATGTATATTACCAGTCCTCTGTGTTCCCCTGGAATGCCCTTACGAACGTATTTCTTGAGCGTGATGCTTCGCTGCGGGGATTTTCCCTCGCCGATAACTTTCGCCCACTTTTTGGCCATCTTTGCGAGCACCTTGAGGTACTCGGACATAAAGTCTTCGTATGTTTCATAATCGAAGTCGTGTGGTCGTTCGAAACCATATTCGTCCACATCACTGGAAATAGATGTATGATATATAAATAGGTTGTACATAACTATTATAATATATATATATTATTATGCAGTAGATATGTAAGTAGTTTGTGTATCTTATGATACAAAATGCGAATTATCGATACATTAAATTGTTAAATATATTTATGTCACATTTATTACAGCGCGAACGATTTTCAAATTAATATGTAATCAATACAAAAGTAAAAAGGAGCAAGAACAAGTTTTGACAAGTGATAAAAGAAGACAAAACCGAGTTTTTTGTCTTCAAGGTGGTTCGAGGGGCGGAAACATAACCTCGACGAGACAAAAAAAAAGGACAAAACAAAATATTTTTGAATCGATGACTCTGTCGAGAGTCATCGCGATCACGCCCGCGGCACGCGGTCGTACGATCGTTCCGCGGGGAGAGGGGGGGGAAGTAAGTAACAATCACCTGAAGCATGAACTTGCCATGCCCTATGCAACTCGATGGGTGTCGGAGAGATCCAGAGAGATCTACGATCGCGTGCGCGTGCAGCTGCGTCCATAGGTGTTTCGTGTACGAAACGCCCACGGGTGTTGGCCTATCGGCGATCGGTGACACCTGATCTCGCTCAGATAACGCTTCGAAACGCGCGGAGGAAAGGAGCGCGTCTCGTCGCGAGTCTGCTCCAGAATGGAGAGGCGGTTTGCGTAGAGAGGGTAGAGTTGCGAAAGAGCCGTTGAGTTGCGAAAGACGGCGTTCCCCCATCGCGACCGTCCCCCCCGTCGCAGCTGGTCGCAGCTGCGAGAAGCACCCGCGGAGTGTCCCACAAATCGTGCTTCCAAATATAGACTCGGCCCTGTAAATTACGGAAATTGTCGCCGATTTGTCGCGCCGAGTCGCGCGACGCTTCGAATCCCGCGGCGATTTGAAAAGCGCGATTCGATCGATCGATAGAAATCGAGTTCAAGTCAACCATCGATACACTCGGCGCCGTAAACGCTCGTGCGTCTGCTGAGGTTAGGTCGGCCGACCGGTACACCTGGTGCCGTAATAAACTGTCACGCGTCTGAAGTTAGATCTTAGATCAACTTGACCGGTTCTCGATTTCTCGGTGGCGGCGTGGCGGCTGGCGGCGGCGCTCCGGAAACGCCTGACTTCAGACAGTACAGCGTAGATCGTGTCCGTCGCGCGGTACCACATGGTGACGGTGGTAAAATGGCTTCACCCGTGCCCTGCGTCGCTGGTAAGCATCTTCTCCTGGGCATTTGCGCGGACACGCGAGATTGTCGAGTCGCGACGCGATGACCGATCGCCGATGAAACTCGCTTCCAAGGGATCCGCGCCGCTGCACAGGCGAACATCCGATGACACTCGGGAGTGTGCTTACCGCACACCGCATCCGCGATGAACGTCCTTGACGTGCGTGTCTCGTGGCGCTAAACGGCTCGAAATTATTCGCAATGACAGTAATGACACGTTCGACGAGCCGCGAGTTACACAGGCGTGCCGCGAGACGAATTTACCGCGAGATTCCGTATTCTAACCTCCAACTGCTGACGTGTACACTCACTGCTGACGCGAGGTTCGCGGTTCGCGGTTCGCGAGAGTCATAATGCTGGGAAAAAAAAAGAAATGTTTACGAAAATGTTAAAGAAAATATATACATTGTTTTGATACATCCTTCCAAAACAGAGGTCCTTCCATTATTTCAGCAGCGACTTTCTTATTCAATTTAGCAGACAAATACTTAAATATATTGTTTAATGTACATCTAATAAGTTGTTTAATATATTAGACAATTAAACATGCAATTTGTATCGTTACATACAAGAGAGATACTAATATATTTTACAGTGAGAGGGTCCAATGGTATAAATCTAGCATACGGTCCACCATCTTACGAATCAGTCAAAACATTTCCCAAAGATGACAACAAAAACTGCAAGACCATGCTCTTTAGTCCAGACGGCCAATACTTTGCGTGGTCCAACTCATCTAAGGTTAAAATCGTGCTGTGCAAGACGTGGCAGACTGTCGCGGAAATCCAACGACCTAGAATCTGTGCTCTTAAATTCTCCAGTTACAGCACTTATCTTGCGACTTGGGAACCATCCTTTGGTAATTAACACAAAATTGTATGGAGTACAAACAAAATTGTATTAATTTTACTGTGTCTATAATTAGAAATATTGATGTAATTTCAGTATCAAAAGAGGAGCCTCACGGATCAGAAAATTTTAACATATGGAAGGCTGAAACTGGTGAACTAGTTCAGCATCTTATCCAGAAGAGAATGGTGGATTGGTAATGTATCGCATGTTGATCATCACCACCTTCTTAATTAACCCATTTGATCTTTCTATCTAATCAACCTTAAAATCTCTAGATTAATAATTAGAGTAATGATAAATAGTAATTAAATAATTAGTTTTATGTTGCAATATTGATACTTTTATCATCAAATATACGTGTAACGTACCGAAATAATGATTTATTTATTCAAAAAATAGGGAGCCACAGTGGTCAAGTGACGAAACATTCTATGGATTATTGAAAGGAGGAAATGTTCTTTTATATGAAAGTAACAACTTTGATAGATATGTACACAAAATAGGTAAAGGCAACATTGCGAAATTTAGTATAGCACCTGGTAACGCTCCCCATCATATCCTCTGCCATATGCCAGGTAATTATGTCTGTCTTTATAGCGTAATATTAAAATATATAATTTTAAGATTTATAGTAGTAGTATGATGAGATAGAAATATGGAGATTGTTGTAAAGATATCATTTTAAAGATATTTGGTATAATAATAAAATTATATGTAAAGTATGAAAGCATTCAATATAGATGCTTTGTAAAAACTTTATGATAAAGTACATGGTTGTTACAAGTATTAAAAAATAGTTTTTTTTATAAAGTAATTAATAAATAAACCAGTATATTTATATTTATTTGAGTTTAGTATTTAAAAGATAATATGTAACTTAAATCAAGTAATATAGAAGTTGCATTGGTATACAATAATGGTAATACATTGGCTAAATTACAGTTTACAAGATGTTTTTTTATTTTAGTATATGGTATATATTAGTTTTATTTATGTATATATACATTTTACTTAAATATAGTAAAAATAGTGGAATAATTCTAAAAGTTTTAGATTATATTATTTAATCAAATATAAAAAGAAACATACAATAAGAGCACAGATTGCTATTTTCTAAAATATAAATAGGAAATAAAATTGGTTTTATAATGGGAAAGTTTCCTGATTATCACATAGCATACAATTTACATATGCTATACCATTTACAAGTACTTTTTTTTGTCAGAAAAATTTCTAAATTAAATAAAATTTTATAATATAGTTCTGATAAATATCTGTTATTATGACTGCGTTCCGATATTCACTGCCAGTACTGAAAATCTATAGTTTACGTCACGTATACTATAGATTTTTAGTACTGGCAGTGAATATTGGAACGCAGCCTATGTATCTATGTAGTATCTACGTCAAATTTTATGTGTCTGTATAATAAACTATTAATTAATATGGCTAAACGTAACTGTAATTAATATATACTAAGATTATTTTTAAACTCAAATTGAAATTTTTGTACATTGCAACACTCCATATTTAATATCCTCTTATAATAATAATAATAAATAATTTGTATACTGTTTACATGTATTATATAAACTATCAAATGTGCATTTTTAAATAAAAAGTTCCTTGATATATAATTTTTAGGAAGCTCTGGTCAACCTTCTTTTGGAAGATTATTTAAATATCCAAAGTTTGAAATTGGAGAGGCAATTGCAAGCAAAAGTTTTTTCCAAGTAAATTTTGAACATATCTTAATCATTAAATATTAGCACGTTTTCTCTGTTTCGACCTACTATCGTTTTTTAGGCAGATAAAGTTGATATGTATTGGAACCAATGCGGCACGAACGTTTTATTAATGACAAATACGGAAGTAGATAAGACTGGTGCGTCGTATTATGGAAAACAAACATTGCATCACCTCAATACCAAAGGAGAAACTGCTATGGTTATGCTCAGTAAGTCCAAATTAAACTATCGTTTTCAATTAGCATTGAAAGTTTACAACGGACAAGATTAATTCTAAAACAATATTGTAACAGAAATTCTTCTGATTAGGTAAAGAAGGTCCTATACATGCAGTAGAATGGTCTCCCAAGAGCACAGAATTCTGTGTAACATATGGCTTTATGCCTTCTAAAACAACTTTGTTCAATTGTAAATGCGAAGTTGTCTTCGAGTTCGGCATGTTGTATAGAAACAGTATATATTATAATCCGCATGGCAACAATATCCTTTTATTATCTTATTGAGCTAATGAATTTACACGCTAATACTAACTATAATTAAATAGTTTTTACTATAACAGTATTCGTAATAAAAAACGTATATATTGAGAAAGTAGGTTATTCGATCACACACATGCATTAATTTTCTTGACTACTGTGTACTATTGCTTTTGGCTGGATTTGGCAATCTTAGGAGCGGCATTGAATTATGGGATATCAATAATAGAAAACTTATTGCTAAAACTGATGCACCAGATACTACACTCCTACGGTGGTCACCAGATGGTGAACATTTCATGACTGCAACTACAGCACCTAGATTACGAATTACTAATGGGTAAATAGATATATACTAAAAGAAATCATGCTAGGTTTAGAGCACATTTATTTGTTGTAAAATTAATATGCATATTAAATTATTAGGTTTAAAATTTGGCATTATACTGGCTCACTAATATATCAACGACCATGGAATAATCAAGAAGAACTTTGGGAGGTAGCGTGGCAAAGTTTTCCTTCGAACGCTTTCCCACAGAAACCTATTAACTATAAAGCAGTTGAGGGTATTGTCACTAATTCTAACCAGTCACAAGGTAATGGTAATTTTTATGAATATTTTAAAATTAAATATTTCTAGACATAATTTTAAAACAAATATAGCAATTTTTGTACATTTCTAGCACCAAAAGAAGCGTATAGACCACCATGTGCCCGAGGACAAAATATTACATTTAAATTGCATGATGATCTTGAGGCGCCTTCTAAATCAACTGAAGGTGAGTATACAGACGCATATGAAACAATATTTCATTATTAATTTTATCGAATTTATTTATAGCAAATCCATCAAAAGCTGCATTAAAAATGAAGAAAAATCGGGAAGCGAAAAAAGCTAAAAAAGAATTAGAATCTAACAATTTTACTGTCAATGAACATGTCACAAGTACAACAAGCACAAAAATAGAATTAACTGACGATCCTGAAAAGAATAAAAAAATAAAGAAAATAACGAGCGTAAGTATATCATTCAAATACCGAATAGCGATGTTTTTTCTTTTTCGTATATTATTATTAGATTAATGATTAACATTAACAATTTTGTTTTGTGTCACAGAAATTAGATCAAATTTCTAAATTGAAAGAGCAATTGAAAGCAGGGAAACAGTTAGAAATCAATCAATTAGACAAGATTAAAAAGGAAGATGAATTGTTAAAAGAACTTGAAGAGCTTACTTTATGATAAATCATCCAAATGTGTGTCAAACAATTAACTCGATAAACAGAAGAAGCTTTGACAGAATGTTTTCCTGAAGTAAGTTTTTCTAACTTTCTTGAAGTGAAATGATTGCAAGAGATATTTACAGGTGAAAAATCAAATTGTTCATCTCTGCAACTTGAAAAAAACAGCGAGATTATATTGTGAGAAATTTTGGATAAAATCAAGCCCGAATCTCTCTTGCCAGATATCAGATACAGATAGATACTGAATCCAAGAATTGTGTTCGTACAGATAAATAAGAATAGATTATTACATTAATTTTAATCAACAGGAGACTCTGCTAATAGTACTGTATTCAGTATTATTAGAGATCTACTTATACGTACTTCCCGATTTTGTTACTAATATAAATTGAGAGGTGATAATAGAGATAGTTGCAGTGTCTATTATCAAAATCTTAACAAAAAAATCTTAAGGTTCTTGGGCTCTTTCCCGACATCTCATGAGATGTGACTTCACGAGAAATGTTGAGAATTGACACGTTGAGAATTCTTTTGTAGTATTTCCAAATAAAAAGATATTTGCTTAAAATAACACTACAGATCATTTCAGCACACTTTGAAAATACTCCGAGTTGAAGTTAACTTGATCTGTAGTGTTATTTTAAGTAAATATCTTTTTATTTGGAAATACTACGCAAGAATTTTCAACGTGTCATTTCTCGCTTTTGACGTCACATTCCAACATGGCCGCGACGAGTACCCAGGAGCCTTAAACCATTGTGCATTCAAACAATTATCAAACAAATTAACGAAAGCTACTTGCTGATTAGCTGAAAGTTTATCGTACTACGGTTGAAAATTTATCATATCTTTTCTGACAAAAATACGTTCCCGAATGAGTCAACATGAGAATTTAATACTGTTATTACAATTTGTTCTCTATTTTATCTTTTTGTACGAGAAATTTAAGGATTTGTCTTATTTAACAAATATCTATAGTGCAGTAGTAGAGTTTGCATTTAAATATCTTATCATTCTGTGCATCCATAAGACCATTATCTAATGTAATCTTTTGTAATCGATAATTGTAATGTTCAGGTAAAGATGTCGGTTACTAGAATTTTTTTTGAGAAGGAAACTTCTGTATGCTTAAAATTTATTTCAACATGTATTATCATTTTTATTATACTCTAAAACCATTGGTTCTTTTCTATGTACAATATTTGTACATAATTCAAATTGAAATTTTTTTTGTATTGTGTCAATACAAAAAAATGTGTAGTTTTCAACATCTATGGACAAGTATATAATTAGTGTATTATATTATTAAGTATAAATAAAGCATTGGAACATTTTTTCAAAATGACGAATTCTGTTCAGCCGAATGAACTGCACTTAAAGAATACATAAGGGCGACGTATCTATAAGAATCCATTACAATAGAGGTGGGAATAGTAATTACGAATGTTATGTACAGTGAAATGAGATTTATGGAAATAAATTCTTAAAGAAATTGTTGATCGGATATCAATGAAATATGCCTTGCTCAATAGAATAAACTTTAAATCTCGAAAACTTATTTCACGGAGAGTTGCGTATTCAGCTATTTTTCGATGTAAGAATGATAGTTTATATTCGCGGCAAGAATTAATTCTAATACAAAAAAAAAATGAATTATACTGGAAAATACGATTGTAAATAACGCATGGTAAACAATTTAAATATATATATCGGGAATGTGTGTGTATCCGTCTTTGTTCGCAGTTTCTCTTTTTTTCCATTAAAATATCCTTTGATACGAGAATAAGAATAAAAGTTATTTTGTCTTATTCTCTATTTCGCAATTATACAAAACGCGGACAAAGTGCAGCAAGAGGAAGAAAAGATAATAGATATTATTAAAAGATAAAAATAATTGTTCCTCGTAAGATGACCTCGATCAAAGTTCGATTAACTTAATCGACGATTAATACAAGTGCTTGAAGCAAAATTCAAATATTTATAATTCGTCATATTTGATCTAATCTGTCTTTTCATGTGTCAAACTTGAAATAATTAGTAATTCTATCCACATCAGCAAAATATTGGGTGACTTAAGAAACATATCTTAACAACAGCAATTAATTTATCGAGTAATATTTATTTTGTGAACGTGAGTAGAATTATTAATACTTCGATATCGGGAAAGGAAGATTAGATTAGAATCGACGAATTATAATTAGAAATTTTGTAGTAAACAATTCTGCTGATTAAATCAGAGTTTAATTGAAGTCCCTCTAGATATTTCTAACATTTTAGATATTTCTAACAAGTTATAATTATCAAGATAATAATAAGTGACTTATTAAGTAATATCTGTATTATATTTTCTTAACATAAATAAACTAATTAACCTTTTGCTATTTAATATATAGAAAGATTAGATTAGGAAAATAAAATAAATTGTATAGCTAGAAATTTTGTAGGGGGCAATTTTGCCGATCGAATTAACCACGAATTAAATTAATCGGAGTTTGGTCGAAGTTATCGTAATCGAGCTTCTTATATTTCGCCTTTTTCCCCTCTTTCTCGAAAATCGCACGGCTGTGTCATTTCAAGTACAGAAAGAATGACGTAGTACAGCAACAAAGAAGGTATTCAACGTTCGCGGTCGCCGCTGGCCAGCGTCGATTTGAATGTTCCCGCGGCGTCGACGGGCCGCAGGCATCCAGCGACGAGGGACGGCGCTGTGGCGCTTTCGGGGGCCGAGCGGGCCAATCGCGGGCGTCGCTCGCCACCCCGTCGTTGCACGCACGTCGTGTCTCGGGCGAGGGCACCGCAGCGCCGCGGCAGTCGTGTTTACAGATTTTGCCAGTTGAGTTCCGTAACGTCACGTCAAAAAAGTGCAACACACGAATTTCTACCACGTTTACTATGTAAAGGTGCGTTTTCCCGACGACGGGGATACGACGCGCGGCACGTCCGCTGTCCGGGTCGACTGTCCGCGCGCGGTGACGCCGCTCGCGTGATCGCGAGCCGGCTATCGAGCCGGAATATCGGCGCTTTTGTTAATACACGGCAGTGCCAATCGTTAGGATAGTCGCCATTTTGTCCGGAGAGGTAGCCCGGTCGGAGGCGAACGGGGGCGAAAATAGGCGCTGCCTGGACCGCCGGAGGATCGTCGGAGTCGCGTAGGTAGCGAGCCGCGCGCGCTCGTCGTCGCCGTCGCCCGTCGCCGATCGTCCAGGCCGCGGGGATCGGCGCGTCTCCGCGGACGGTTCGCGGAGACTCGCGCGCGGTCGGTCGGGAGTCTCGCGGGGGACAAAGTCGCCCGTCGTCTCCGCCAGCGCTACGCGCCGATCTCTCGCCGATCGCTCGACGGCGCAACGTGGGCGAACCGATCGCCGCCGCCGCGTCCGGATTTCCCCCCGGGGAGGACGCGCGCGCCCGTCCGCCCGCGACGCGCACCCCTCCTCGGACGAGGCCTCCGCCGACCGGCACGGCCGCTCCCTCGTCGTCGTCGGCTTCCCGACGACGTTGACAAGTCGACGGGCGAGCGACGCCGACCACGCCGACGGCGCGGCGGCTCCGAGTCGCGTCGCGCGATCCCGAAAGCGACCGTCCGCAACGCCGCTCCTATCCGACTTTATAATTGTCCGCCGCGTGCTCACGCCGTTCCATTAAAACGACCGTAACACGCGCCGCTTCCCGTACGCGCCGCGGTCGCGTTTAATTCCGGCTGATCCCGGTCCACCCGGCGTCGAAAGAAACTCCACCCGCGACTGTGGAGTCGCGTCGCGTCGATTTATGCGTTATGCGTTACTCGAGATCCTCTTGAAGATGATAATGGTTACAAAAGTTTTTTAGTACCTACATTGTCTTGCCGGTTGTACGTTGACTCGCGAGTTGTCACCTTTGTTGTGACTTCCTCGAGAAAATAAACGCTTACGTAACTGTGTTGTCGCATCGTTGTGACGAATTTAAATTCTCGTCTGCTTGGATTGTAAATTGAGTTTGATAACTGTCGTTGGTTTGGCTACGCCGCTGAGGATGTCGACGACGCATTCGCTTAGTTACGTTTCTCGGTCAGTGGTTTGAGGAGGCGCGATGCTAAAATTTCCTTTCCTTTGTGTTACAGATAATGTAGGTATAGTTTATTAAAACAAGGCCTTTAGGATATAATTATATTTAATGTCAGTATATAAGCTGGATGCTTGTTATTGGTGGTGTAATCATTGGACCAAGAGATATTGAGACAATTAAGGCGTAGCAAACAGCGTGTAAAATGACGATTGCCACTAGGGGCCAGGGAGTTGGCATAGACCCTCCCGACAGCCAGCAAAACACACAGGTATACAGATTTTGATAGCTGATCAGTGATAGTAGCGTGAAACACATCTCGCGTCAAAAGTGAAAACGGATTGAACAAAGAAAAATGTCTGCGCAGATGCACAGTCCGCCAGGTCCACAGCAATTGGCTGACACAATGTCGGGACTCCAGCTCACCGAGAATGTGGTACAAACGGAATGCAACAGTGACGCTATCACTACGGTAGAAGATAGCAACCAGCTTCATGAAGAGCCTGAGTTTCCTATTTTCAAACTTAATATGCTTCATGAGAAGATATCTAGTCCACGATGGGTTGTACCAGTTCTACCCGAACAAGAATTAGAGTGCCTGTTACAAGCCAGTATCGAACTTTGTAAAAAAGGTTATGTATTGTTTATAAATTTTTCAGACAATTGTTCGCGTTTTCACTCGCGCATCGGGGAAATGATTTCACCTTTATGATAATGTGTTTATATAGAAGCGTTTATTTATAAGACGCACACATCAATTTTGCATTTACTGTATTGCAGGAATTGATGTACAAAGTGAAGCGTGTCAGCGCTTTTTTCGAGAAGGTCTCACAATCTCATTTACCAAGATATTAACAGATGATGCGGTAAACAGTTGGAAGTTGAATATTCACAATTGTATTAACACTAATTGTGCACGTTTGGTGGAACTATGTGTCCTGAAATTAGATGAGGACTGGTTTCCTCTACTTGATTTGCTGGCCATGGTTTTTAATCCTAGTAATAAGTAAGCGAATATTACACTATTGCGAATTATATAAATTTAAGTTTTCTGCGTGATTATTCTAAGTCTTTCAATTTTTTTTTTCCAGATTTCACACAGTAAATGCAATAAGAGTTTCGGAAACTGTTCCTCCTGGTAGTGATATTCCTGATGAGGAACTTTATGCTCGCCCACCATCTGACTCGCGAGCTCCTCGTGGTTGGCTAGTAGATCTTATAAACAGGTTTTTATCATATTTTACACACATGTAAAATGTTTTACTTCAGTATATATACATTAACGTGAGCTTTCGTTTCAGATTTGGGAGTCTCAATGGATTTGAAATTTTACTTTCGAGATTTCAGAGTGGACGTAATTTAACAGTGCCAGTTATTTATGCTTTAATCAGACCCTTTGGCTTGTGTTACGAACTGTTAACTGTTCACACGATAGTTAAATATCTGATGCCTATTGTTGTAAGTATATTCTCACTTTATCATTGTCATTATTTATTTGTTACTCTAGAGGAATGCAAAGCACATTGTTACATTACAGGAAATGGTACCTCTTATTTTGAATAATTTAACTGACGATGAGTTGAAGAAAGAGGCAAAAAATGAATCAAAAAACGATGCTATATCAGCCATAATCAAAGCTGCTAAATGCTTGGTGTCGCGCGTACCTCATCAGGAAGAGATGATAAAGAACTTGGAAATACTGAGACTGAAAATGATATTGAGACTCTTACAAATTTCTTCGTTTAATGGAAAGATGAATGCTTTAAATGAAGTTAATAAAGTAATATCTAGTGTTAGTTATCACCAACACCGTAATACAATAGCAGAGGAGGAGGAGTGGCTTACAGCAGAGCGTATGGCAGTAAGTATCGTCTAAAAATCCATAACCCTAATTGTACTAATAACACTTTTAACGTAATGAACTTTTAATATAATAACCGAAGCAAACGATGATAATTCAAGTGTATTATATTATAAGTGTATTAATTGCTTGAGTATTTTGCAAATATTATCGTGAATTGTATTGTGTAAAGTTTGTAAAAAATAAGGAGTGTTTATTTGTGATACAGAAATGGATTAAAGACAATGGGGTACTGGAAATCGTACTGAGGGATTCGTTACATCAGCCGCAATATGTAGAGAAATTGGAAAAAATTTTACGCTTTATTATAAAAGAACGTGCACTTACATTAGAAGACTTAGACGCTGTTTGGGCTGCACAAGCTGGTAAACACGAAGCAATTGTGAAGAACGTTCATGACTTGTTAGCCAAATTAGCTTGGGATTTTAGTCCGGAGCAACTTGATCATCTATTTGAGTGTTTTCAGGTATCTATCGCGGTAATGTAAGAATATCAAATTTACACTGAACAGAATGTTAACATTGATGAAATGTGCTATTGTTTCAGACAAGTTGGAGGACTGCCAACAAGAAACAACGGGAAAAGCTGTTAGAATTGA